AAAGCCACCGCAAATGGACAACAGCTGTTAATGCTTTCCAGCGCTCGGCATTTTAAGCAACGTACACTTATTTATAAGTTTTTCTTTCAACTCCAAGAGCTTGTCGACGAACTTTAATGCTTTATCAGCAATTTTTGTATTTTAACGCACAAGGTAAAAATTGAATGTACTTGCAACAACTTTTCCAGGAAATACTTGAGCTTTACAACTTTGAGGCCATTGCAGTTCTTTTTATTTTTATTTGTATGTCATGCCATATTTATCAGTCAAGCAAAATCAATACAAATTATAACTGATAACATACATATACGCGATAAGATGTGTCTGCAACTCACTTTTTTAATGGCTGACAAAATATGTATTTTATTAAATTAAGGTTATGCATTTATTTTTTTTCTTTAATCTAAGTGCATATTCCAAAGCGGTTTATCATTAGGTATTTTGATGTTTTTGTTCATTTGAACGTGTCTTTTCATATTACACGTAATTTACGCTTCATTTTGTCATTGGCTGTTGCCACAACTTGGGCTACAACACGTTCCATAAGCCACCATTTTTATTTTTGCCACAATTATACAACACGAAAAATCTAAGAGATGGTTTTTTGCCCCTCGCCTTTATGGCGAGCAACAAAAACACGTACGCAAAAAAAAAAAATAAATAATAATCATAAAGACGGCAACTAATTTGGTATTGTTGAAGACTCGACAGCAGCTTTCAACGCAACTGGGTTGTTGGCCGTTCCGTTGGTTATGATCTCATACAGCTGGCAGCAGTGGCCAATCCCAACTTTGTTTAATTATATGCGTGTGCGTGTGTGTGTGTGTGTGTGTGTGCGCGCGTATCTATGAGATGCTTTTTCTGTGGTCCATCAGCGCAAAATGTTGGCGTCTGTTCGCTGATGAGCTGCTACCCACACACGCACACACACACACACACACGCACACACTCTCGCATTTGGACTCACATTTCCAATACGAATGCCGCTGACCATCGGCCAGTGGGCCGTGGACTGTGGGCCGCTGTTGATAGCCATTTTGGTGGTCCAAAATGGTAGGCTCGCTGCTCTTGTGTGTTGGCGTCGCGTTGTTAATGATCTTTGCTGGCTAATTTGATGGCAACTGTACTGTGGAAAGCTAATTAGCGACTGTCGAAATACCATGTAGCTGCAATTAGCGGCAACAAGTGGAGTCGAATCTCTTAAAGGAATTGATATAAATAAAATTTCGATACACTTTTTTTAAATGCTCTTACTTAGCCCAGAGCCGGAGAGTATCTGTGAGTAAGCGCTGTGCAAGTATGCCTTCCTCTTGATCTTTATTATTGCCAATGGCACACTAGTGCGACTGTGCGAGTGTGCGAATGCATGTGGCTCGTGTGGCTGGAGCCGAGCGCACGAACGCGCTGGCCAGCACACGAGGCGCTCCCACACAGACATACACGAGTGCGCACTCACAGATACACGCGAGCGCACCACAGATACACACACGCACACTCTCAGATACAATGGTGCCGACACAGGCAACAACACGACGTACAACTTCAACGCAACTTCAGTTCTTAAACGGATGTCGAAGGTAGAAGAGCTGCCGTCGCTCGACTGAACGTTCGCTCGTATTTTTGATCAGTGATCAGTGACCAGAGCACAGCACAGAAATCGCGTATACGCGCCGTTGTTCGAGATTTAAGACGACGGGACTTAAGAGAAAAACAACGAGCTATGGTATCTCAAGAACGAAAGCGAATAATAAATAAATTAAAAGTGTTGCAACATTTTGCTAATATATATTAAAACAGAAAACGAGAAATATATATAACTAAATGCGATATAAAATATGTACGATATGCGCATTAATTTATCAAGTTATTTTCCATGTGTGTGCGCGTGTGTGTGCGTGTGTGTGTGCTAGTGTTTGTGTGCACAGTGTAAAGCATCTGAGCAGCAGCGCGACTGATTTCATGAATTGCCTTCAATTATTTGCCATTAAATACGAGAATTGCCAGCAAGTGTTAAATTTTAATCTATACTAAAAATGCGACGAAGCTCGTATAGTCGACATAACGAAAAAGCAAAAAACAACAAAAATAATAACAACAATTAACAAAAGATATTTGAAAAATCTCAACAAGTGTGCACATGAAAAAGCTGCATGAAATACAAAGGAATTTAAATAGTGCGATAAGTGCGAATTATACTAAAGAGAGTAATCAAAAAGTTTGCCACTGAAATCGCAACCAAACTAAAATCACAGGCAACGAAACGGCGCTACTTAAAACCAAACCTAAACTCAAAACTTAAATGCTAACGCCCACATGCTACAGAATCTATCTGCATACTTAAGCGCATGATATGTGTACTTTATGAGAACCAATTCCAGAAGAGACTCAATTGATTAGAACCCGCATCCAGCAGCAGCAGCAGCAGCAGCAGGAGCAGCAGCAGTGGCAGTGGCAGTGCAAAAATTAAAATACTCATATATTACCCAAAAGTGAAATCAATTTTAATACAACTGCAAGAACCACCAGCATAAGCCAGCTGCACCACAGTCCAATCCACTTACAATTTATGCGTGTGTGCCTGTGTGTGTGTGTGTGTGTGTGGCTATTCCAAACGTTGTCAATTGGTTTGACAGTTGTGCGGATCCCGCAGTTTTGATTTGTATAGAGGAGCATTTAGCATATATTATATATAGACAAGAAACATTTTTGTGTGGACCATTCAAAAAGTCAATGACGTGCATTTTTAACATTCAGTTTTTGACAATTGATCAATTGGAAAACGCGAAGAAATGCCGCCCTCTGCGTTCCTAGTAAATGCCACCATAATCAGTGCAGCAAACGCGTCGGACAACGACAAGGCAACAGCATCAGCAGCAGCATTAGCATTAGCCGAGCAGCAACAATTTAGGAACTTGCAGCATTACCCAGTCAGCAGGAGCGGCAACATCAACAGCAACAACAATTGCCAGACGGCGCCCAACTACAACTATACAAAGCCAACAACATCGAAAAATATGGTGCTACAAAGTTATGAGAACTATTCGAGCTATCATTTGCCACAGCAAACGGTGCATTTGCAGCAACATCAGCAGCATGTCTTGCCAGCGCAGCAGCCGCCTCAGCCGCAGCAGCAGCCGCAGCCACAGCAGCATCATCATCAGCCACAGCTTCATCAGCAACACCCCCAGCAGCAGCAGCAACAGCCACAGCAGCAGCAGCAGCAACACCAGCAACATCAACAACATACGCACTATGTCTCACCTACGCAACAGCAGCAGCAGCAACATCGCTTGTCCGGCGGCAGCACAGGCAGCAACACGGCCTCCTCATCCTCCGGCTCCAGTTCCAGCGCTTCCTCGAACGCCTCGTCGCATAGCTTTGCCAGCGCTGGTAACGGCGGCAGCGTCGGCAGCGTCGGCGGCGTCAGCGGCGTCGGCATTGGCAGCCTGGCGGGCGCCTTGAGCAGCTCGACGGCGGCTTCATTGGGCCTGGGCTACTTTAATGATATAACGCCCTTTGTGGGCGATTATTCGCCGCCGTCGCATCACGCAACGGGCAATGCCTACTACACGGATTCAGATGTCAACTTCTTTAGCTCAGGTAGGGCACAAAGCTAGTCAAATATTTGCGGACATCAAATGGCGCACAATTTTAATTACAATCGAGGTGTTGGAGTGTGAAAAGTAGCTCAAAGATGTGCGCACAACCCTCAACGCATAATTAAATTGTAATTTGCTTGCAAGTGTTTGTGACGCCCGCAAGCAACCGCAACAGCAACAACAAGCCAAAAAAACAACGACAACAACAACAACAAACACGCAACAAGTTGAATGTAGGGGGAGGAGATTGCCTAAATGCGACCAGCTACAAAATGTTATGCTTTACTTGCGCGTAGGTTGACTGACTAAAAGCTAGATACATGGATAGATAGATGTTTAGGCACACAGATGCACCACTCGCAGATACATGTTAGCCTGGCCGAGATGTTGAGAAGCTGTGCCACTGTGTGGATAGCCGTGGGAGGCACCCAACTCTTTGTTGTTGTGCCGCCCGTTGCCTCAGCCAACGGGCAGCGTTTTGTATCTTTGTATCTGCGCAATACCGTCGCCGAGCGAATGGGAGAACGCGCAAAGCTTTCGCCCGCTGCGAGCGAGTGAGCGAGATTGAGCTAGTTGCTCGACGGGTTGGAGCGAGCGAGAGAACCAGCACGAATGTTTATATGCGTGTGTATGTGTGCAACAGGTTTTCGTATCCCACAGATACCGATGCACACATACGCATTCGTACGTACACACACTCGTTGAAACGTGTTAAATTTCGACGTATTTACAATTAATGTAGCGTTCGCTCGCAGGCCACATTAGATTGAGAGAGGGTAGCTCAACTCGCTCGCCTATATGAGTGTGTATGCGGCAGTATGCGACGGTATGCGTGTGTATCTGTGTTTTGTATCTATTGCGGCGACAGGCATTTGTATTGGTGTGCGCTTCGAATTTTGATTGGCTTCCGAAGCGGTTGCCCTCGAATTGTGTTCGTGTCAGAGACGCCCCATTTGATGCTAAAATGTCTTCAGAGCAAATAAATACACAAACAAATGTAGATCTTTAAGGATTCGAAATGTATATAACTCATAAAGAATGCATCTCAATAGTATGGAGCTCAAAGCTTCACATTAATTGATATATCTTTTTAGAACTTGTTGTAGATTATTGAGTTGATTTAATATATCAATATTTGTCGTACTTTTTAATATTTACAACTAAAATGAAGATAAATTATTTTAATGTTCAACAAGCTTGTAAGCTTGGAACCTTGCACTTTAAAGAAATGTAAAAAATAATACGATTTTCTACGAATTCGAATGTATTTATTTTTGTAGTTCATTAGGAGATTTTCTTTATGATTCGCTCGCAAACTTTTATCGCTCGTTACACAACTAAAAATAAAATTCCATTGGCTAATCAATATAAGTTCTACATATTTTATTTGTTATCTTGCAGGCTACAACAACAACAGCAATGCACACGATCGCACCAACAGCAGCCCGCCACCGCAGCAATCGCAACAGCATGTCAATGGCAACAGCAACAACAACAACAACAACAACACTGGCAGCAACAACAGCAACAACAACAACAACAACAACAACAACATGCTGCCGCCTGGCGTGCAGCAGCAAAATGCTCCCGATAACAACAGCAGCAGCGGCAGCAACAATAACACCAACAACAATGCTAATGCGGGCACCAATAACAACAACAACAATAATAATAATAATAACAACAACAACAACAACAACAATAACAATATTAACTACATGACAGCCATGGCGGCTATCTACCAACATCAGCTAAAAGAGGAGCCGGGCACACAGTCCGCCAACGGCAGCAACGCCGCCTACGCGTCGAATGCTCAAAACGATCCAACAGATCTCAGCAGCTATGGCCTGCCCGCACATTTGGCTGCAGCAGCGGCCGCCGGACACTATAGTGGCGGTGGAGGGGGCAATCCGGGCGGCGGCGGTGGGGGCGCTTCTGCTGGTGGCGGCGATGATAGCGACTATCATAGCACACTTTCGGCACAGGAGCATCAGAGCCAGGCTTCCAGTGCGGGCAATGGCAGCGGCAGCACCAACAGCAATGGCTACATGGATTCCAGTCCGGACTTTTACAATTCGTATAATAGACGTTTCCATGACTCCTTCCCGCCAGAATTTACGCCATACGATGCGCAGTTCCCAACGATGGGCGCCCAGCCGAACATGGATCAATGGGGCGCGCATGCTCATCAGCATCCGGCGGCATATATGACCACATTGGGTCTGGACAAAACGCTGCTGGGAGGCTACACAACGCAGGGTGGAGTGCCCTGTTTTACAGGCTCCGGGCCAATACAGCTGTGGCAATTTCTGCTGGAACTGCTGCTGGACAAGACCTGTCAGAGTTTCATCTCCTGGACGGGCGATGGCTGGGAGTTCAAGCTAACCGATCCCGATGAGGTAAATGCACGACAAATGATTGCTAATTGAAATCCTTACTAAATATTATGTTTATTACATCTATTGTCCGATAGGTGGCGCGTCGCTGGGGCATACGCAAAAACAAGCCCAAGATGAACTACGAGAAACTGAGCCGCGGTCTGCGCTATTACTATGATAAGAACATCATACACAAGACGGCGGGCAAACGCTATGTCTATCGCTTCGTCTGCGATCTGCAGAATCTGGTGGGGTGAGTAATCAATTGAAACAATACACCATTGGACAAAATGGGACTAACAGAAATGCCTTTTACACAGACACACGCCCGAGGAGCTGGTTGCCAAGTTCGACCTGAAGATCGAGAAGAAGGACGTCGACTAGCAGTCAAGCAGCACGGAAGCTGCTTGAAGTGCGACAGCTGACAAGATTTGATCTGCAGTGCGATCGAAAGCCCACAAATTATAGTACTCAATGGGAAAAGATACTTTTGAGAATTATTGTTTCCAAGCGTGATGTTACATTTTAAGCAGCAGCAATACCTGCGATCTTGCTACGAGATTAATGTGTGTGTATTAGGCCGTCGTAATCACTTTGTAATTATTATGTAAAAATCTTAGACTTTTGAATTAATTTGAAATTAATTGAAAATACGTTAGCCTTTAGTCTATTCACTAAGTAGTTGACTAAGGCTTTAATCTATAGCATTGGAATATCAATGAATCAAGCAAACCAGTTTCAATATGCATTAATACAGCGCGATTTGAATGAAGCTCACGTCCGGATTGAATGAACCGAATTAAATTATCGAACATTTTTGTGTGCAATGCGATTGTTGTCGAATTAAAGTTCTACTATATGCTACCAATTGTAACCATCGTAAAAGAGGCCATAAGAGAACGAGTGCATGTCCCCAAAGTGATATTAAAAGCTACATTTTTGTTAAATTTTTACTTTTCATTTTGCAAACGGGGTCGCTTTTTTCTAGTTCTAAAATTGTGTGTGCGTGTACATAAATAATAATTAAAAACTATAATTATAATAAATATAATGCTAAGGCTTATCTATAAGTCTATCATATTTATGTGTAACCTGTGCTTCTGGTACAACTAAGTTATATAGATACATATATATATATATATATATATATATATATATATATATATATATTTACATACATTAAAAGGATCCTATATCCTATATACATTCACTTTAGTGCGCTTCCGGGCGAACCCACGAACTTTACAAACGTCAAACGGCACCACAGTTAAGTACGCATACGGGATATATATATACATATATGTATGTATGTATATATGTAGATATGTTAGTATGACCAATAAACTCTGTAAAGGTATAATGCAACTCTACATAGCATACTCTTAGTTACTTTTTTTTAATTACTGGCTGCTTAGAGTTTTCCATGCGTTAAGAATTGACCATTCAAAATATGTTTAAATTTGTGTATAGCTATAAAATATTTAAGCCTAGCTCGTAGCCCGTAGCCACGTATTATGTAGAGCAATTTATACAATAAAACAAAATCCAAAAATATTCTTAAATCAACTTCAATATATCGTAGTACCTTAGTAAAAATAACACATTACAATATTTACAAACTAAGGGCTGTTGACATGACAGTTATTAAAATTTCGGCTTTGTTCTAAAAAATTGAAAATATATAACATCGAACAAAAATGTATCGTCCCGTAGCATCTAATCGAAAAAGTCTTTGCAATGGGTTTATTCCTATACTGAAGCGATACGAGCACAAAATGCCTGAGAGGCTGAAGTCGGTTATAACAGACAAGGATCCCGGGTTCTCAGACATGATATCGTACTACTATCACAAGGCCGCCCAGATCATGGAAAAAGATTTGGTCAAAGAGATGGACCAGTATCCTTATTTCAAGCCCGAGGAGAAGCAGGCACGCGTGAATGCCATTTTGAACATGATAGGGAGCGTGTGTACCTCGCTGGAGGTGAACTTTCCCATTGTAAGAAAGGATGGTACCTATGAAATAATCAGTGGCTATCGAGCGCATCACGTACGAAATCGTCTGCCTCTCAAGGGTGGTAAGTACCGAAATCTACAATGCAGAGTTGTTGTTTGATCCACTGCCCTCAGGAATTCGCTTCGCCATGGATGTGGACGAGCATGAGGTGAAGGCCCTAGCAGCAATTATGACTTTTAAGTGCGCCTGTGTTAATCTACCCTTTGGTGGATCCAAAGGCGGTATTCGCATCGATCCCAAGAAGTACACGGTGAAGGAATTGCAGACGATTACACGTCGATATACCATGGAGCTCTTAAAGCGGAACATGATTGGGCCCGGCATCGATGTGCCCGCCCCAGATGTTAATACAAGTCCGCGAGAGATGGCCTGGATAGTAGATCAGTATATGAAGACATTTGGTCACAAGGATATAAATGCGGCGGCAATCGTGACAGGAAAACCTGTCCACATTGGCGGCATCAATGGGCGGTTCGCGGCAACTGGCCGAGGTGTGTGGAAGTCGGGCGAGTTGTTCGTGAAAGATAAAGAGTGGATGGATTTAATTGGATTTAAGACTGGCTGGGAAGACAAGAAGGTCATCGTCCAGGGTTTCGGCAATGTTGGTACTTTTGCCGCCAAGTATGTCCATGAAGCAGGCGCGAAAGTAATTGGCGTTCAGGAGGTTGATTTCTCTATCATTAACGAAGATGGTATCGATATCAATGTGAGTAAATTGGGTTTGTTACTTGAAATAGGATCATGAGCACCTTCTTGTAGGACCTGATGAAATATTCTGCGGAAAAGAAAACCATCAAGGGGTACCCAAACGCGCAGGAAACACAGGATAATCTCCTCACGGCAGAGTGCGATATATTAATGCCATGTGCTACACAAAAAGTCATTACCAGTGAGAACGCTGGCGATATCAAGGCTAAATTGATATTGGAAGGTGCCAATGGACCTACCACGCCAGCTGGCGAGCAAATCCTGCTGGACAAGGGGGTCTTGATCGTTCCAGATCTGTATTGTAATGCCGGCGGCGTCACTGTATCCTATTTTGAATATCTAAAAAACATTAACCATGTTACATACGGCAAAATGTCTTCGAAGAGATCATCACATCTTATTTTCGAGATACTAAACTCTATCAACGAATCATTTAGTCATGGGGATAGTAAATTTGTAAGTAGTTGAAGCACTGAATAGTAATTAAAGAAGTTATTTAATCGAGTTCTCTGGCAGCCCGAGGTCATACCAAATGAACCACTGAAGAAGATTCAGGACTGCACTCATGAAGCTGACATCGTAGACGCGGCTCTACAAACAATTATGGAATCTTCGGTCATTGGCATCAAGGCTGCAGCTCACAAATTCGAGCTGTGCAACGACTTGCGAACTGCTGCATATATCTGGTCGATATTCAAAATTTTCCGCGCTTTGGAGAGCTCCGGCATATCGCAGCAGTAAACATTAATTTCTTTTAATATTAAACCATTGTTTGCTGATCTAATAAAAAAACTCGCCTTCAACATTTAACAAGGGGTTGATCAGCAAAACAATAGATGGTGGAGGTTTTAAAAACGTGACCCAAGAGCTTACATGCAAGTTCTCAAAGTTTCTGATCTGAATGTGATGTCACACACTGTATTTATTGAGCTCCATGACTTTAGAAACTAAACGAGCTAATCACACAGTGGATTATCCTCCGCTCCGCTCAAGATGGTCGAGAATAGTTTAAACTTCTATCACTCAATATCTGTCGTATACTTCGACCCATCTATCTGTTGACAGTTAATTTAAAATTAAAAGTCTTCGATTTGTGGAGAGGCTTCATATGGACAGAGGCACTCGAAGACGGAGGGACAACTCAACCCAATATATAACATGATTTAGGTGCCATTCTTGATAATAAACTTAAGTTCGACCCTCATGTTACGACCGTGGTTTGTTTTGGGTTTCATCGTACACGACAAAGACCCTTTATATATCCTGGGTACGATCTATTCTAGATTATTCCTGATGTATCTGTTCGTCACAATATTCTTTTTTTTATTTTGTTTTTTGGTTTATTGCATTGAATCAAAAATAGCACACATTTTTTAGGTGATATTTCGCCAAGCCTGGTTGAGCCCTCAAGCTTTATCGTTAAAATTCGTCAAAGGCGACTCTATTGAATAAGGGTGCTTCGTCACGTAGGTAGTCGGGAGACTCTGGGGAGTCTCCTGTGTCGTGGTTGGAGGTGGTCCTTGAACGATCTTCTCTTGAGCCTCCTGACTACACACCTCCCAGCGAGGTCTCTTGCTACCCGGTTTCAGTGTCGCTGCAAGCGTTCGTTGTACCGGTTGGCGAACGCTCCGACTAGGCTGTCTATGGTCTCCATTTTGAGGTCTCTGTGCAAGGTAGAATTTCTGACGTACCAGTCAGCACCGGTCATTCGGCGCAAGGCCAAGTTTTGGAGTGTCTGGATCCGTCTTCCATTTTTCCGAGATGCAATGCCCCAAACCTGAATAGCGTATCTCCAAGTTGGTGCCACCACGACGATGTACACTGCCCGTTTGCAGCGAAGTGGCAATGGGCTGTTGGGGTTTAGTAGCCAGTTGGCCTTGGCCATCTTATAGCGGCACTGCTTAAGAAGGCCGTCGATGTGCGCCCGAAAACTAAGCCTCTTATCCAGTACAATCCCAAGACACTTGGCGCTTCTGCCAGGGTGAAGGGGGCTACCATCTATCCAGACTGCTGGAGCCTTGCCACGCCTCAGTGTGTAGTTGACCGCCTGGCACTTCGAGGCATTGAGCTTGTCACAATATTCTATTCATCAGGCCAGAATTAAATCTGTTCAGAAATAACTCTTATTGTTGGCACATCTTCGTTTAAATTTGAGTCCTCGTGTGCGGTTACCGTCATACTCCAGTAGACTTCTAATGATTAATCTGCCTTTTACAATCAATCGCAGAGCCATGCTTGGTGTAATATTTATTCATAAGTTAATTAGGGCTGAACGCGATTCTTATGGGTTGGCAAGCCAATTAAACTTCTCTATCCCTGCTAGACTAACACGTAGTACGATTTTGTTACTCCTCGGTCGAATGGGAGCGAGGTGGGATGCAGCACATTTCATCGGGATACGCGGGAAATTTTCACGTCGCCTCATTTGCCTCATTGAATTAATCTGCTGTTAATATTAATGATCTAGTAAACATGGTTATCTTTGATGTATATCGTATTTAACATGAATCTATATTAAAACAAGCAAAATACTGGAACAGTCAACACAAAATTTTTCATTCGATATTTTTTTTTAGTTTTGTGAAAATGCTTCGGGGCATTAGCAATGTTCTTTTAAGTGGTCGTTGCCACGCGCCGCCACAACTCCAAAAGCGACATGAGCACAAGATGCCAGAGCATCTGAAGGAGGTCGCGGATGCCAAGGATCCCGAGTTTTCGGCAATGGTTCTATACTATTATCACAAGGCTGCCCAGATCATGGAAAAAGAATTGGTTAAAGAGATGGACCAGTATCCACATTTTAAGCCCGAAGAAAAGCAGGCACGTGTGAGTGCCATTTTAAATCTAATTGGAAATGTGAATGCCTCGCTGGAGGTAAGCTTTCCTATTATAAGAAACAACGGCTCCTATGAGATTATAACAGGCTATAGAGCCCATCATGTGCGAAATCGTCTGCCTCTCAAGGGTGGTAAGCATCATGCCCAGAACTTTCGAGCAATTTATTGATATTTTTACTTATATCCCTCAGGAATTCGCTTCGCCATGGATGTGGACGAGCATGAGGTGAAGGCCTTAGCGTCTATTATGACTTTCAAGTGCGCCTGTGTTAATCTACCCTTTGGTGGATCCAAAGGCGGTATTCGCATCGATCCCAAGAAGTACACGGTGAAGGAATTGCAGACGATTACACGTCGATATACCATGGAGCTCTTAAAGCGGAACATGATTGGGCCCGGCATCGATGTGCCCGCCCCAGATGTCAATACAAGTCCGCGAGAGATGGCCTGGTTAGTAGATCAGTATATGAAGACATTTGGTCATAAGGATATAAACGCGGCGGCAATTGTGACAGGAAAACCGGTCCACATTGGCGGCATCAATGGGCGGTTCGCGGCAACTGGCCGAGGTGTGTGGAAGTCGGGCGATATGTTCCTGCAAGATAAAGAGTGGATGGATTTAATTGGATTTAAGACTGGCTGGAAAGACAAGAGGGTCATCGTCCAGGGTTTCGGCAATGTTGGCTCTTTTGCCGCTAAGTTTGTCCATGAAGCAGGCGCTAAAATAATTGGCGTTCAGGAGGTTGATTTTGGACTGACCAACACGGATGGGATTGATGTCAATGTGAGTATCTATAGGTGATCGTTTGGCTAGTTGGTTAGCTAATGAGGATCTTCTTAGGATCTGATGAAATATAAGGCGGAAAAGAAAAGCATAAAGGGCTATTCGAAAGCCACGGAGTCTAAGGAGAGTCTTTTAACGGCGGACTGTGATATATTGATGCCATGTGCCACGCAAAAGGTGATTACCAGTGAGAACGCTGGCGATATTAAAGCCAAATTGATACTGGAAGGCGCTAATGGCCCTACCACGCCGGCAGCCGAGAAGATTCTGCTGGACAAAGGGGTTTTATTAGTACCAGATTTTTATTGTAATGCTGGTGGTGTCACGGTATCCTATTTTGAATATCTGAAGAATATCAATCATGTGTCGTATGGCAAAATGAATTCAAAAATAACTTCGCAGCTAATTCACGAAGTAGTAAATTCGATCAATGAATCGTTTAACCGTTGTAACGAGGGCGAATACGTAAGTCGTAGAACTATCTATCGATTTGGATTGTTAACTCATATTTTTGCCCATCCTAACCACAGCCGGAAATCGAGCCGAATAAACGGCTTCAGCAGATACGCGACTGCACCAAGGAGTCTGACATTGTGGATGCGGCTCTGCAAACAGTTATGGAATCGTCAGGCGCTGGAATTAAGGCCACAGCAAATAAGTTTGAGCTGTGCAATGATTTGCGAACTGCCGCCTATATCTGGTCTATATTTAAAATATTTCGTGCTTTGGAGAGCTCCGGTATATCGCAGCAATAACTTTTCACTAATATTCTCTGCCAATTGGAAAATCTTCCAAATTTATTAAATAAGAATTTTTGTATTTTCGTGGATATATGCATCTCTGCATCTCTAAATAAAAACTCATATTCTTAACTAATGCCCTCCTATGCGATTCTCATAAATTCAAGTAAGTGTTTAGGCTTCAGTTCATGAGAAGGAGACGGCTTCAACTTTGTAGGAGATGGCCGCTTTAATATTCGAGGAGACTGCGACTTCAACTATGGCTTTGGCGGAGGAGCATTAAAGGCGGCATTAATTTAAGAGCTGTCATTGAAAAAACTGAGACGTATTATAAACATATCTAGGTCTTATTATATGTTACAAATTTTATACTCGAATGCATGCATGTTTGTTTGTATGTATTTAAGTACATGCATGTACATATGTATGTATTTAGGAGCTGAAAATGAAGAAGAAACGTGTTAATAAATATTGCTCTAATACGCGATTCTCACTAATTCAATAAAGGTTTAGCAAGCAAGCTGTATTTTTAATCTTTTAAAAATAATCTCAGCTTTTTATTTTTTTTTTCATTGATGGGTTTATAAAAGAGTTTGTCTACCGTCTGCTGATGGATGACGATAAATTCAAAAACAAATAAATATTTGTTCATATTTATTTCACATAAATATGAATTTATAATATACATAAGTGTATAGGTTTAATAAAGTTGTTATCATACATGACACCTGTTTATACATCTGCATACCTTTGTGAAATCCCTTGATTACCTAATTTTGACTGCTGGCAATATCGAATTTGTTTGTAGCAAGTAGGTTTTGTTTTGGAAGACAGAGCTTGTTGAATTTTGGAGTTAGTCGTGCGAATTAATTCAAGAGCGTCAGAGCTACTAGAGCGTTGATATACGTACATTTAAATTAATATATTTTTACAAAACACTGCAGAAGCATATTCACGATTTTGGTTATTTTGCAAATTAAGGAAAGTTACGCTATTTGAACACAAAATGGATACCGAGCCCTTCAATAAGACGGCATTCCTTGAGGGTTATCTGCTGAAGCACCGTGAGCTTGGCAAGCGACAGCGGGAGTACAAGAAGCTGCTATCCAGCAAGCTGAAATCGCGCAATGAAACGATCATCGATGCCAGCTATGAGAATACCATCGATCGTCTCGAGGAGGAGAAGAACGATTTGCGCGCCCAAATTTGGGTGGCCGCCGGCACAACGCACATCAAAAAGGACAAACGCTATTTGGGCCAGATACGCTGCCATGTGGAATGCCAGGAGAACCTGGCGGAGGATATAACCAAGCTAAAGACATCCATATGCAATATGGAGCGCGAAATCAGTCGTGTGAGCAAGCAGATCTACAATCTCAATCGATTGACGGTCCCGGAACAGCAGCACCAGGCACATGTGGCCAAGGTGCGCAAGAAGATGGTCATTTTGGAGAACTCGCTGGAGGTGGGCGTTCGCCAGGAGTGCGGCTTTACGGCGGCAAATGCCGAGCTGCGTGAGCAACTCATACGCATACTCAATCATCGCACGTTCTTCAACGATTCGTACACGAAGATGGTTCAGAAACTAAATAGCGACAAGAAGTATCTGATAGATCTCATCGAGTATGCACTGAACACCTTCGATGGCTGCATTGATGTATACGAGAAAATCGATAAGATTACCAAGCGCGAGACCAAGGAGCGCGAGCTGCGTCGCATTGAGCTGCAGAGCATTATGCGCAAAGTGGCTGCCGATGCGGACAACACGGCCTTCGTGGAGTGCAAGAGCAGGGAGAGGGTGCTGGCCGATCTGCCAGCCAAGGAGTACAGGCGTCGCGATGAATTCCGTCGCAAACACAACAAGAAGATTAATCTGTATAACTCGGTGCTCAAGAAGATACTCGATTACACCAACTCAAGCAATGTGGAGGAGGTAATCGAGAAGTTCCAGCAGCAGGAGAGTCTCTATTACTCGTTCTTCAACTATGCCAACGAGATGAGCTATCATATTACGCTGCTCAACAACTCGGTGAATCGCCTGTTCGAGGATATTATCGATCTGAAGCGCGAAAACACCAACACGCTGCAGGATCAGATCGATCTGATCAACTCCCTCGAGCAGCAGGTGCGCAAGAAGCAGGCATCGAACGTGGAGCTCCACAAGACGCGCGAAAGCAATGACACGCGTCTCGAGAATCTGCTGCAGGGCGTTGAAATGTTGTGCGACATGTGCTCGGTGGATACAACGCCTTTGAATGATCTCCTGGGCGATCACACGCACGTGAATCTAGTGAACGTGGAACGCTTTCTCAGGCTGCTAGAGACACGCATCCAGGACATTGTGGCCAGTGTGTATGTGTTTGAGCGCCAGGACGAGGGCAACATCGACTATGTGGTCAAGCAGATCGAGAAGATCTGCGAACTGCCCACCGATCTCAATGACATTGTGCTCACCCAACAATGTCCCGAGTGCGCCGAGGGCGAAGCCTTCAATATGGACGATGGCGGTGATGGTGTTGCCATTCACACGATCAAGGAGGCCAAACAGAAGCTCTACGAGAAGATTACGCAACCAGAAATGCAGTATCGCCTCCATAGCATTAGCCAGTGCCGCTTGCCCCGCTCCAGGATGCTGGCCGCCAAGCGAAATGTCTAGGCTGACGAACCACTCAGTGGTAGGCGTTGCTTACGTTAAATAATACTATGTCATGGCCAATTAAATTCAATTAAATTAAGTTTATCACAATTTATTTTCTAGTTCTAGTTTAAAAAATTACCTAGCTTAGACTTCTACTGTTCGAAGGAAGGAACCTCTCCTATTTGGTTATAGCTTAAAAATACTTATGTGCAAAAAGCTTACAATCTCTGCTCCTTTTGGCCATCTACAAGACCCGACAGAGTGCTGTGGAAAGCCTCAATTTCAGGACTGGGACTAGCAACTGTCGTAGATGTTGTCGAATCAGGATTGGGACTAGCAGCTGTCGTAGTTGTTGTTGTTGAATTCCCAGAGACTGTGGTGGAGGCCGTAGCTTCTGTTGCAGGCACTGTTGTTTCCTGCGCACCGCAATCGTACATCCGATGCAGTTTTTCTATATCCAAATCAGAAAATCCTAAACGCTGACCCATTCGGGAAAAGCCACCCGCTTGCTGTAGTTCAGTATATTAGTTAGCGTCTACATGCATATATATTTAAGCCCAACTCACCTTGGCGACAATAGTCGGTTGGCCATTAAAGGAGAAGGCTCTGCCTGAATAGTGCATTACGCTGCCATAATCGTAGGGCACTCCGAATCCTTCGGTATTTTCCACCTTCCTGAAGTTTCTCAGAGCTCGCCAGCGAATATTCATGTACTGGATAGCCACATAGTCGTCACGCTCCTTGCGGCTCTGCTCGTGCAGGAAGCCCAATGCGTGCATCAGCTCGTGGAGCACTGTGCCGGGTCGTCTCAGACATCCAGGGGTTTGCAAATTAATTTTCTGCTCCCCACCTACGCGACCTACTGCCGACCAACAGCCCGACCAATCGTTGATAATAGAAATGTAGTCCCTCTCGCCGCTGTGCGGCACGAATCTGATGCAGGTGCGCCTGTGGTACTCCTCGATGGCCCCTTGAATGACAGCCAATTGCAATTCATTAAAGGTGCCTCGTATCTTGTACGGCACCACACCGCCGGGCCAGCGTGAAGTCTGTGTGATGAGGCCATTTTTCATAGTAATCGCCGTCTCTGGCACGAGCATATCTCCCTCCAGATAGCTGCCCAGCTCCTCGGGATTGACATCATCTGTGTCGGCACTGAAATTGCCGACCAGAGCGCCTGTTAGCTCCTGATCCGGCTTGCCAAGCAAGCTGCTGCCATAGAAGCTCAAGTCTATGATGTCCTTGCTCCGCGGATCTGGGTCGTCAATGCCGTATTTGGTCGTTTCCTTGTGGAATATCAACGGCACTGCCTGGACAAGTGCTTGAACCAGGACTGGGATCAAAATAAATCTGTGCATGTTTTAGCCACTTAATTGCCAACTTTAGCTAAACTATGTTCAGCTCTAGCGGAGAGCAGGCTTTTATATCTAAATTCATGTTACGTTCTTTGACGCGGCAGATCTTATCAGCTTTTATTGCACGAACATATTTTACTTGGTTGACATTCAACCGTCAAGTGATGCTGCATTTTGAATTGTCTTTACTTAAACCTCTTTTAATAAACCAACTTTTATTTTAAATAAACGTATATATGTATTTTTACGTACTCATATGCCAATACTAAACCCTTAAGAATTGTGAACGTTCCTCTCTCTATTCATATCTGTCTCGCTCTCTTAGCAATTATTTCCGCATTTTATCGTCAAGATTTAAGTTTTCGTACCTGAGGGGCTTTAACCGATAAGCATTATCATTCTGACCTTTCCGCTTTATGCGTTTATAGGCGTAAGGAACTAGATGAGAACTCTTCTGCCTGTGATTTACAATGATATGATGCTAGTTAGTATTAGACATTTAAAGCTATTCTTATAACAAAGAGGGTCAACGCACCTAATATTCATATAGCCTTCACAGTAGGTACCTTTGCTGATATCAGTCGAGCAATTCATTTTTAAATAGTTTTATTAAGTTTTTATGTCAGTAAGTAGCTTAAATGACCTACTAAGAATAAACAAGTAGTACATTTGATCAATTTGGGAATACTTAAAAATTTTAAATGTTTTTTTAAGAAATTACATTTAAATTATATTTATGTTTACTTATTATAGTATGTATCTAATTCTGACACATTACTTGAAATGATCCGAATTTATAGACAGAATTATTATATTTTTAAAAGGATCAAAGCTGCGTTTGCCTAACAATTTCTGTGATTTTAGAGACATATGGAAAATCCGATAGTTTTCACAGTTAGTTTTATTTAAAAGCAAAATAATAAATTAATAAAAGAGTATAAATTTTAATTTTAATTAAGAAAGAATGTACTTACAGAATAAAAAGATAGTACATATGATCAAGTTGGGAATACCTAAAAGTTTTAAATGTGTTAACGCACTTATATTTAAATTAAATATATTATCAAATCATATCCTGATATTTCACTTGAAAGGAACATAATTTTTAGACAATTTCTTACATCTAAGAGATATCTGAAAAACCAGATTGGTTTTTAAGAGTTTTACAACACTTCATATTATTGTGGAAACGATCTCCACGTCAAAAAGCGGAAACGTGTGAAATAATTGCCCTGAAGACGGTTTGCGATGTGAAATCGAAATATTTTGGAGAAATATTAAACTAAATTGTTTTAATTTTTCATTTTAAATAGACCGTACATCGGGCCAGCCAACAAAATAATAATAAAAGATAAACTTTAAACTTATTGTTTATGCAATTGGTGCTAAGTAGTTTTTATTCTTATATACTTTGATCAGGTAGAGATTCATGATAATTATATATCCTAAACTAAGTTTGTATGGGTTATGCATTAAATAGTTGGTTGCGTTTGTGAACATATGAATTTGGCAGGTTCTTTGGTCTAGTTGCTAGCTTCAGTGGCCTTTTCGTCCTCGCCGTCTCCAAGACCCAGTCCACTGATGAGGCCGCTGAGAAAACTATCAACGATGGGATTTCCGCCGGGAACAACAGGAGCTGGCGCTGGAACACCTGGTGCAGGGGCAGGCGCTGGTACCCCAGCTCCAATCGCTGGCGCAGATCCACCCACATAGCCGCAGTCGTACATGCGATTTAGCTTGTCCACATCGAACTCGGAGAATCCGTTGCGCTGACCCATTTTAGAAGCCCCGTTCGATTGCTGTGTGGTATAAAAAAGAATTGCTTATATTATGCAGAATTTCGTGGTGTTAATTCAGCTCACCATCGCCACAATAGTCGGCTGCCCGTTGGTGGAGAAGGCATTCGCTGAATAGTGCATAACGCTGCCATAATCGTAGGGGATGCCAAATGCTTCCGTCTTGGCGGCCTTCTCGAAATTGCTGACGGCTGCGGATTGAATATTCCTGTATTGGATAGCGACAAAGCCATCACGCTCCATGCGATTCTGCTCGTGTAAGAAGCCAAGGGCATGCATCAGCTCGTGTATGGCTGTGCCGGGTCGACTTAAGCAGCCGGGCGACTGCAGATTCACCTCCTGCTTGCCACCGACACGACCCACTGATGACCAACAGCCCGAGTTGCCGCTCACAATTGAAATGTAATCCCGTTCACTGCTGCGCGGCACAAATCGGATGCAAGTGCGCTTGTGATACTGCTCAATGGCGCCCTGTATGGTGGCCATGTCGCGGGCATTAAAACTGCCGCGGATTTCGTATGGCACCACACCGTTGGGCCAGCGTGAACTCTGTGTGGTCAGGCCATTTTTCATGGTAATCGGTGACTGTGGCACGAGTATATCTCCCTCAAGATAGCTGCCCAACTCCTCGGGATTAACTGTGTCACTGTCGGCGCTGAAATTGCCCACTAGGGCAGCTGTTAGCTCTTGATCGGGAGTGCCATACATGGCACTGCCATAGGAGCTCAAGTCAATGATGTCCTTACTAGGCGCCGATGGCTCTTCAATGCCTGGCAGCTCAATGGCCTCCGTGTCGTCAATGTCGTCGTAGGATACCAGCGGCACTGCCTGTGCGCATGCTAGACCCAAAATGAATAGCAAAGGAAGTCTGCACATATTGGATAGATAGATTGATTGGCTAATTGTTTGGTTGCTGGCTGTAGCTTGACTGTGCTTCGTGGTGGAATGGACTGGATATATATACTCAGTTCTGCAGAGTATAATCAGACGTGCCCGCTTTTATCAGGCGGCAACGGGCTTTTATATACATATTTTTTATACCGGCAGACCTTCAGACGGGCGGTCGACATTGCTGCAGTCGTCATCGTCTTGACTCGTCGTCACACGCGTTTATTGGTGGATAAATATTTGGGTAACGCTCACAGTACAAGTGCTTTATTATTGTTTTTGTTTTTTGCGGTGAAATTGCTTTCATAAACTGTATCAGTAGTTTGTTTGCATACGCAAAGTTTAATGACATTTTCTTAATGTAGTTTTTAGTTTTTCGCACATAACAATAACCGATAAGCATTATCGGGTTGACCTTTTTCGCAAGATAGATTTATATGCCACAATTTGTTTATAATGCCGCTGTGATTTAGAGTGGAAATATCAGCAGGCAGCTATAAAAACCATTTTATTTCTTAAGCATAAGTAAATGTAATTCTTAACATATCCTAGATTTAATGAGGCGACTCTGAACTGAGGAACAGTTTGCAACTAAGCGACCTAGAATCTAAAACATAATTCTTGTAAGTGAGAAATACAAAAACGATTTTCTAGCGAATAGCCGAGAATACAATGATTTTGAGAAGAGCAATTCGCATACTTAAATACTTAGTACAATGCAAATAAAACACAGCACGGCGGCAGCTTCAAATAGATATGGGAAAAACATTTTAAAAAATCCCATGCTCTTTTTGGATCGTTAGCCAAAACAGCTGTGTAAGCCGTGTGCATGAATTGGGTTCAAGTGCAGGTGGCAGCCGTTGTTTGCAGCACCTATCAAATTATTGTAATTGGGACTATTTAATGAGTCATTAAGAAAAAATATTTTGGTTGAACTCAAATTGTTCGTTGATCCTCTAGGTATCGAAGCTCATTTCTACTACCATATTTGAGTCTGAGTTTGAGAGCTCTTCCTCCTCATCGAATTTCAAGTTCATTTTGATGCCACTTAACTTATCTGCGTTGAGCACGCGCCGACTGCTGGCCGTTATGGATTCAGTCACATCTCTCAGTGCCTTGCTGCAAATCTCATCAATTGTGGAGGTATCATCCATTAAATCCTCAATACATTCCTTTAATATTGTGGAGGTGACAATGCAGTCACGATTTAGCGCTAAGCTCTTGTGGAAATACTCAATTGCCTCGTCCAAGTTGCCAAGTAGAGCGTGTATAAAGCCAATGGAGGTGTATGTAGTGCCGCTTTGGGGTTTCAGCAAAAGCGCCTAAAAAATAAACAACTCATTAGGAAAAAGAAGAAGCACAAAACACTGCTCTTACAAATTGAAAATTGTACAGCGCCTCCTCGAATTTTTGTATTTTGCGACAGGCGTGACCTAGATTTACAAAAAGCGGCTCCCACCGTGCCGAAACCTCTTCGTTATTGGTCTTGGCGCGCTGCTTAACAATGTTAACGGTAGACTGAAAGATTGTGGCAGCGCCATCGAAATACTCATATTCGTATTTAATGACGCCCAGCTCATGCAGTACATAAACATCCATTGGAGCTATGGTCATGGCTTGCAGAAAGAATTTCTCTGCCAATTCGAGATTTTTGGTAAGTCCACACTCCACACCAATATAGAGTAATGGCAAATGGCAGCCACGCATAAGTTGGGTGGCCTTGAAGTAGGCAGCCATAGCCTGCTCGTGCTCGTTCTCATTGGCAAAGGAATGTCCATAGGCCAACCAGGCGGGACCATAGAAGCGATCCAGCGATGTGGCTTTCGACAAGTAACGACGAGCTGGATCACTTTTGCCTATCATGTCGTAGTAGCAGCCAACGGCATACCAAGAAATGGCCTTGTCCGGATACCGATCGACCAATTTGTGGGCCACATAGAAGAGCCTATTGAAGTCACCATTCTCCACAAGACAGGCAATTTGTATGGTTAGGGCGCTATTGTGGAAAGGATCTACCTTTAGCAAGCTGAAAGCAAATCACATTAGCAACAATTATAAATTATATATCAGTGCAATGTATATTTACTTATTTAGAATTTTAAGGCTCTGCTTGTAATCGCAGTCATAAAAACATTTCTCAGCCTCTGAAGCTAGTAGATCTGTGCTGCGCTGCACTCGGGATAGGCAGTCGTTAAGCGATATTAAAGTGTCTATTTCATGCTCACGCGAACTACGACGATTGGATGCATCAAAAAGCGAACGCTGCGTAGCATCAATCATGGATGAAGCGCGTGACAGACTCGTTTGTAAAGAAAATGTCGGCGCTTTCAGATCCTCCAGCACTCTACAAATATTGATAAAATTAGCACAAACACGCCAGATACACAACTCATTTAATACTCACTTTTGTGCGGGTGACATAAACTGACTTGGAGTCACTGTTGTTTTCGGCACAGATGGCTTGGGCAATTGAGTATCCGCTGCACAAGTTTGCTGCACGCGTACGGTGAACTCCTTAATATACTTGAGTACATCCGGGTTGACAATCGGTGAAATTTCCTCAGCATTCCGCGCTGAAATGAGCTCATAGTACTTTTTCAATCTAGACTCGTATAGCTTTAGAATGAGCTTGGCGTCAGCCTCGCTAGATTGTTGGGCCAGCGGCAAATGGTGCATCAGCTCAAACTCTGCAGTAAAGCAAAAAAATATTTAGAAAGGAAGACTGTTGTTGCCTTGAGTATTTACCCTCCCAAGCCATGAGCATTTCATGCTGCACCAACGCTTCCAGTGCCTCAAAGCAATATATAGATTTGTGTAGAGCCTGCACAAAGAAATCCATGGCCATACCACGATTATCCAATGCTTCATATACCTTGCCCTTCATCAAGAAGATAGAAGCCAGCAGCTCATTCCGATTATTTTCTTCGCCGCCAAAGACGCTGTTGCTCTCCAAACAGAAGCCGCTGCCCGGATCTACCGGCTGATTAATCAAGGATGTGGTCATTGTCTCCACCTCCACGATTTGTATTATGTTTGCCGCTTCGTTGTACTCTTTCGCCGCATAGAGACTCTCCAGCAACAGATTAAAGCAAGGGAGAGAGCTTTTCTCTAGCTTATAGTGCTGAATTGTATGAGCCGCGCGATGGTACTCGCCCAATAGAAACATACACTGTGCCTGATAATAGATGTCGCGCGGCTCCTGGCCGCTTAGAACGGCTACCTTTTCGGCCCAAAACAAAGCGGTTGAATAGCGGCGCTGCAAAATACATACATACATCATGCATTCACATTCAGACATAGTTACATATAAAATTTACATGCTGAAACTACTTACCATGTCTATAAACTGCTTAACCAGTTTGCGGTATAGCGCTAGATCAATGTGATCATTTGCGGCCTCGGCATTGCTGCTTTCGTTATTTCCTGCCATTTTTAAAAAATTAATAATTATATGTTAAGACAATTTGTTAGTTTAGCTGTGCCGGCAAGCGCTACTACGAAACGAGTAGTCTGGCAACGCTATTGTGCACAGCTGTTTTTGCCATTCACACAAAACCAGCAGTGGCACTGTAAGAAATTATTGGCTCGGCTTTTCAAAATGTGAAATGAATATGAACTTTTATTTAATAGCATTGCAAAGTGACTATTTGCTTATTTATTAAAAATGATTTGAATATGCTGATATAAATGTTTCCCCTTTTTATTTAGCAGTCCCATAATTGTATATATTTCCTGCTTCTAGCCAACTTCCTTGCAACTTGTATGTTGTCCTGCGACTGATTTGGGTGTTGGGGTTGGGGATTGGGGCAGCAGCTAACATCCATAGAGATTTTATTTGCGCTCTCTCAGCATCAGTCGTCGCCAGGCGACATCAGTGTATTTCAATTGCTCGTTAGGTGAGGTTATTGCATTCCTGCCTTGAACGGCAACAAGATAAAGTTGGATCCATCGGCAGTGCAAATAAAAACACTTAATTTTTGTTGATATTTAAAATAAAATACAAATTATATACAACGCCTTTATCTTGTAGCATATTTTTACAAGTGTAAAGCAAAAGACTGCAAACTACACCAGAGCAACAACAGTGCATAGTAAAATTAACGAAACGCGTGCAAAGCACACTGCACAACTCGAAGTAACGGTTCCAAGCCGGATAGCAGAGTGTGAGAAAAAAATGTGCTTTGCATGCATGCAGTAGGACGACAAAAACTGAATGCAAGTGCAAAATTAAAATGAAATTCTACAAATTTATGTGAGTGACGCGTGCAACAAACTAAACATACATAGGCTGCAACTACTATAATTTCGGGTTTGTAAATAAATATATACATACATTCATTCATATACATATGCATACTTGTGAAATTGTAACGTTCTACGTGAATGTGTGTATGTTGTACATACTTACGTAGAGTTTAATAGGTAAATGGGACCGGCATAGCAAATCGTTGGCAAATTTGAATGCATGTTGTGTGCTAAAAGTGTACCCGGAGGAGTGCTGCGAGGGTGAATTGAAGTCGCAGGATTTTCCAGTATCTCGGATGCAGTTATACTCTCATCGAGTGCAACTTCAATATACTTTTTATAGTGCGTGTTTATTTGGTGTTGTTGTTGTTGTTGTGGCGTCGGTATCGTCGGCCCTCGTCACTGTCTTTTTACAACTTTCCGTTGTTCATGAGTATTTTACGTCGCGCACGCCTTGCCATACTCACGTCATTTCCCAGCAGCTCCAACAGCACCAACAACAAATACGACTCTCCTACTAGTCGACCACTTTTTACAACTACGAATACGCACAGAGAGGACCACGGGCAAAAGCAACAACAGCAACAGTAGCAGCAGCAGCAGCAGCAGCAAGAACAATAACAAAAACTACCCAAGCTCCGTTGGCGCTCCACTCATTGTAGTTGCTGCTTTGCAGCGTTCTGCTCATTTCATGCTGATTTATGGTTCTAATAATAGCTTCGCTTCCTGTTTCTCAAAAGGATTACAGCCGCTGGCACATGCACACGGTCGAGACGCATACATATACACATAGACATCAACACGTACTCAGGAACGCACAGCACAGGACTTTCCTCTTTTGTGGCCCGTGTCCATTTTAGCCCATCACCACTTTTAGCTTTAACAAAAAATTAACATAATTACCGAGAACGACAAAATTATAAAGCAGTCGCTCGCACGAAAGCACTTGGAAACAACTTGTCGTTGGCTGCGAAACGAGGGGCATGACGGAAATTGGTTAATTACAGTTATGTTTGCGGGGATACGCCTTGATCGATTTACAGCGTTTAACGCTTAAGTGAGCTCATTTAGACTGCTGGGATAGTGTGCGTGTGCGTGTGCGTGTGCGTGTGCGTGTGCGTGAGCGTGTGTGTTAGGGTGTGCGTGCCTGCTTGTGTGCCTTAGGATTTTCGACTTGGGGACTTACATGCATTAAGTAAACCATTGAGTCGTATTAAAAATATAGCTTGAAAAGGTTTTCCAATTGAATTCAGTTAAAACTAATTGATTACTTAAATTAAAAATGTACTGCTCGTTTTCTTTCAACTTAATATAGATGGCCAGATTTAATATTTAAGTTTGGATTTGAGAAGATTTTTTAAATTTTAACTTATTTGAAAAGCTAAAGCTAGACATGAAAATTTAAACTGCTAAATGCTGGAAATTGTAAACTGTTGTGAACTGACAAAGTTAAATTTCTACTGAACTCATTGTTGTTATGTCTAAGCTAACTTAATTATTTAATTTATTTAAATTTAAATTTAATTTTTTTTTAAGTATTTGTTATTTGGTTTACAATTACATATTCTACAAACATGATCTAAATTAGTTAATTTCTCTCGTCTACTTCAACAGGGTGCATCACATGAGTTTCATTATTGACGGAGAATAATGAATCGATGAATATTTGCGTCAGCTGATACGGCCGCCGCATCTGCCTGCTGTCTGCGTAGTGAAGTGCCGACTGGTGCCAAATCCTGATTGCCAACAACTACAACAATAACAACAACAACAACAACCGAAGCAGCAGCAGCAGCAACAACTAGAAAAGCTAAGCAAACCATTTTTACCAGCAAACATGTTAGCCTGAGGCAGACCAGACAACATTTTTGGGCAGCCGCATCATCAGATCGAACCCAGCTCAAATAAAGGACTCGCTGCGCAGCACAAACCATTGAGCGTATGCCCAGAGAGCATTCACGGTGAGAGAGAGAGAGAGAGAGAGCAAGCGAGCACGACCTGGCTGAGAGGAACTGAGGCAAGTTGCTTGGAGCGATTTACTGTGTTGTTGCGTTGGTCAGCATAAGAAGAGGACGAGAGGCGGGAGCATACGGAAGTGGCGACATCTGTTTTGCCGCTTTGTCAGCTTATCCGGCAGCCGATGGTGTAGCCGACGACAGTCGAACACAAGGACGACGAGAAGGAGCGAGCGACACGACAGGACTAACGGCAACGTGAAATACAAGTGTGGAAATTGGAATTTTTATTCAAAACAATGCCCCTGCTGCAACAGGTATGTAAATAATAATAAAACCCATTCGCACTCCCAGCTCGAAAGGGGATGACGTTAGCCGTAATTGAGCCGCTCACGTACGACACCCAGATGAGCAAGAGCACCAGAGCGCATCAGCTGGTTTAACGCAGTTCCACGCCCTGCAACCGCTAACACCCCTTACACGCCCCTTCGCTGTTGCTGCTCCACAAAGGCATTTTGCACCTTGATATTTGATTGTGTGTATTTATGCCTGCCGTATGCCGTATCGGCTCAACTTTAGCCACTGACTGATTGTGTCTGTCTCTGGCAGTAGTGCCTGGGATGATCCTAATCAGATTATTGCTTAACTTTATACGCCTCTCGGCTATGCGGTGCGCCGACTGAAGGCTCCTGTTCCTTGCTGCACATTTAGTACTCTACTTGGCTCAACTGGCTGAAGCCCGACAGCGCGACTCTTGTTGTCTGTTGCACATTATGAGTTGTTAAATTCGATTAAACTTGCGGCGTTTGTTCATAGCGTCAGCTCCTAGACAGTGCAACGCCTCCATCCAAGCTGTCTGTTTGTCCCTCTGTCTGTCTGTCTTAATGTGGCTGTGTCTGGGTTTGTGTGGCTGAGGATGAGTGTCCGTGCGTGGAAGGCGTTTAATTGTACTCTTTGTTGCGCAAAATAGTTGCGTGATTAAATTTTCCGAGCTTTTATTTATTTTTAATTCATTTAAATAACATGATTTGATTAGGCAGCAAGGCACAGATGATAGCTTTGACAATAGTGGTATATAGGTGTCCACAAAAAAGAAAGAAAGAAAAAGAAAAACCAAACTATTAAATAACAAATTGAATTGCAAGTTGTAATTTTATTACAATACTGCGCTATGATGCTAGAGTACATATTTTATGAAAACGTCACTTCGGTTTAGTACATTTTCTCTGTCTCAGTAAATATGTCGGAGAAGATTACGCTTTCGTGCACATTCAATTGACATCGACGTAATTCCTTGGCACATGTCTAGACACGTTGATTCTTAAATTATTATTGATATTTATTGAAAATATTTTCTTCTTTCTTTTGATTACAAAATTAAAGCTTATCTTTTTATTAATACTGTTTGCTGGCCTTTCTACCTTTGCTACTTTTCTAGTTTTTTAGAGGGGATAGCCTTTGTCATTAAATGTGTAACGCATAAAAGGAGACATCTCCGAGCCCATAATGTTTATATATATGATCAGTATAAACAGTATATGACTCTCAGAAATGAAGATATCGTCATATTCCATGTTTTGAAACGACCGAATTGGACCACTATATCCCATAGCAGTTTGTATGAACCACTTTATTGTTTGCCAAGATAACTCAGTATTTTTTAGTTTAAATGCTCCTTAAGCCACATCTTATCGACGTCGGCCTACTATAAGATATAGCTATGATCGGTCGAACATTAGGTCCTTGTCTTTTTTGTTTTTGAAGATAACTTGACCCATCCCGGCATTTATTTATTGAACTCTGCTAATTATATGCAAGGCATATCTAATCAGCATAGGAAATATTTTGGAATATCGGAATCGGTTAAAAAATGAGTTTTTGTACGAAAGTTTTCATATTATTCAATATATATTCATCAAACTCAGCAGATGTGAGCTTTTCTCTCTTTCTCTTCGTTTACATATCTGCAAAACCGTAAGCCATAATTCTACCAAGGCATTTGAACTTTCTTTCTGGTTATTATATTATACTGATTTTGGACATTTTTAAATTATTTAGTAAACAAGACCTCAAATTATCTTAAGCTGTTAGGATAAACAAAAGCAAGGCCGTTTTCTTACACGCAGAACCTGGGTAAGTGCGGGAATGTTAGAAGCCGGGAGATATATAGGATAATTTTATAGGATGTCAGTCATTTCAAAAACTATTCCAAAATGTCGAAAAGGTATTTTTTTGGCAAAGTTGCGGTTTTTCTCAAATGGCTTTAAGTACCCGACCGAATGCGTCTTAAATTCTTTCTTTTGCTTCTCCATTCGCATACATGCTACTCCCCAAACTCCCCACCACCAATTTTACCTTTTAATATGAATATCATATAATGTTTCATTTTCTTAGATTGATAAATAAGCTATTGTCCCTTCCCCAAGCAATAACAATTCGCAATTCAGATGCTAGCTTTGAGGATAAAACTCCTATTTGACATACTAGTAAATGTTATGTCAGTTCAGTCAATTTCCACTAAGCTCCTGCCAAAATTGTCACTTGTCTCGGTGGCTTCCGCCCGGCGGAGGTTGTGCTCGTCCCTCGTCGCTGCTTACCCAAGTGACACATGTGTAATCATTATAATATACTAGTAGCTGGGGCTACACGGCTTACGCACATGTTCCCTGTTGCTGTCATGCTTAAACGATCCCATAGTCCTGTCAATATGTGTGGTGTGTGGGGGTGTGCGTGATTGCACCGTGAGACGCCTCCGTCCGCCTCCATTTGCACTGCCATTGTTGCATGCGTAAGCGTCGCATCGCTCCCTCTCCCTCTATTTCGTCTGCTGCTGCTCTGCATCCTCGTCTGTCATTCAGTCGAAAGCCAAGCTACAAAGTTACTCATTGTCGACTGTAACGGGCTTCGTCTATTGCTCATCATTCAGGCATTTGATGGATCGGGCGGCAGTTGGCGGGGCGGCTTTGGCACGGCCTGACAATCTGACAATGGAGGCTGTGCATTTGTTACAATGTTTACACAAATATTTAAGGATAATCCGACGATTTCAAAGGGGTTATTATGCAATTTTTCTTCTCATTTTATTGTGGCTGCAAAAAAAAAGGGAAAGAAAGAAAAAAAGTGGATACTAAAAATAAGTAAATGCAAAATGTCAATTTTGTCGTGTAAGCGGCATTCCCATTGATGGTGCAGGGGCCTCAAGGTGGGATGGGGTACAATAAGCCATTGTTGTTGCCCCAATATAAAAATGCATATTTATACGTATGTAGTGGGCACACATATATATATATATATATATATTTATTCATATTTATTTGCTGGTAATGCCTAAAAAAAAAAAAGCGACTTCTTCATGCAGTAATGCTTCCTGTGCCAGTGTGGCGAATACTTTATATTATTTCATTTCCTTTACCCGTCGTTTTATTTATATGTATTATGTAATATATTTTATTTATGTGCCGCTGGCCTGCTGTTAAAAACGCCTATAAATAAAGTACATTTGTCGTTTGTACAACATTTTATTTGCAAAGTTCTTTTTGCCCTGTGATCATCATTGCCCGCTGTGACTGACACACTTTATATTCCCAGCCATATTCCCGAATGGTCTACAGTAAAGACCAATAGTTTCTTTCTTTCTTTTTCGGCTGAAAGCTGAAAAGCTTTTTTTTCTAATTTGTTGGATATTTACACCTAAGAGCTAAGCAGAAAACCAGCTATAAAAATAATTCCTTGGGCTCGAAAATGTTTTTCCTTTTAATTTGTTGCAAGTTATTAGCCTTCTTGTTGAAACTCGATGGGCGAATCATTCGCATTGTACAAAATGAAATCAAATGAATAAAGAATCATTTCAAAATGCTGCAAGCTGCTAAGCATTTGCAATTGCAAATTTACATACATACTGTGCGATATATACGTATGTATATATTCGGGTTTTCTTTTTTTTTTCAACAAAAGGCAGCCAGCCTGACAGCTTAGCGTCTATGGCGATGGCCAGCGGAATGTCTTGGAATGCCTTGCACCAGTCGCCCTCATCCTTGTCCTCGTGCCAGTGGCGAATGGTACAAGACGGCGGCCTCGTAGACTTCTCACAATGGCGGCAAAAGCGCCCCGAGGCACATCATTAAAATGTCGATACCAAGCAAATCACACGCCCGCCGCCAGCCAGAGGGATATAAAAAAATGCGACGCGTTTTGTGGTGGGATGCCTGAGGTTGCCAGGATTGCTGGATGGCTGGATTGCCGGCTTGGCGGCTTGGCGGTGTAGCAGGTTCTGCTGGGCGTAGCCGGTGCAATATGAGGAGCTGGCATTAAAAATTGCAAAAATTCAATTGAATTTACTTTAGCGCAGACATCGTCGCACACACTTCCAACTAGCATGCGTGGGCGTGGCAGTAACAATGCTGCTGTGTGTTATTATTAAAAGCGCACACAAAGGTGCAGCCAAAGAAAACAAGAGGCAAAATAGCAATGTTTTAAAAAGAAAACAATAAACGCAACCACAAAAGGCCACCATGCAAAAGCAGAGTTTGTTGCTTTTTAAATAGGCATGAAAAAGTTTTGTTGCTCGAAAATAAAACAAAGTATTCATTCAGCTTAGGACAAAGACAGCTCAACGGCTAGTTATCCTGTGCTATAATAAAAATATAAAGTAAATTATATTGAAGATTGCCAAATATAGTGAAAGCTCTCATGAGCAGACAGTTTTACATTTGAATGCTGCTAAGGAAAATGTCTGATTAAAAGATATATTGAAAAAAAGTAATAATATATGAAAGCTAAGACTCATCAATACTTTCCATATTGAGAGTAACAACAAGCAACAGAAATGGTAGCTTAAAAACGTTTCTATTTTGGAAAAGCATTGTCTTTTATTCTTATGTCAAACTTTTAATCAATTTATAGCATATAGAAGTGGTATATCCGCTGCAGGGATAGTTTTTGTACAACAAGAAACAGATTTTGTGTACTACAAATAATGTCATTGTCTGGTTAAAAGAACGTCCGCCCAAGGCTGATCATTTTGTCCACTAGCAAGCTTTTAGTTAGAAGTGAAGAAATCTAACAGAAGAAGTGAAGAAATCTAACACATCTAACAGAAAGTGGTATTTTAAGAAATGGTTGATTAAATACTAAAAAGAAAGACAGAAAGAAAGAATATCGGACTTAATACATATTTACAAATTATGAATATTGCAAGGTACTTTAACAAATTGAGTATCCCGGCTGTCCTAACAACTAATACACCGCATTAACATAATTTTATTGGGTATGCAAATATGCATCGTACGCCCTGTTGTGCGCAATCCAATGCAGCTCAACTCGCAGAGATAATACAGTGCGCAAAAAGCGCGTGTTTTATTTCCACTTAGCACACACACACACACACACGCACACAGAGAGAGACACAGAAGAACGCACACACGCGCGCATTCACACACGAACCACACTCATATTGAATGCATGTTGACGCCTGTTTTAAAAAAATTGTCTTCTTTCCTCTGGCTGTCTCACTCATTCACTTCACACACACACACACACACACACTGAAACAATAACAACGACAGCGGCAACAAAAGCGCATAGGCATCGGAAATGTTGCCGTTGAAACTGAAATGTCGCTACGCTTGCTTCTCGCTGGTCTGTCGTCCACGTGGGTGTCCTCGTGGCCGTAGTTGCTGCCATACTACGCCCATGTAAACGGTTCGCTGCTCTGCCCGAGCAGAGAGTTGTTTGAATTACGATATTGTTGTTATTAAAAGGATGCATGACGCAGGAGCAGCGGCAGAGTTTGCTGCATCTGTTGGATACTTCATACAAAGCATCATTTAATGCTTCGCACTCATACTCATACTGCGTCTGTGTGCGCGCGTGTGTGTGGGTTTGGCCACACGCTTGCCGTATCTATAAATATATATTTATACATATATATATGTTAAGCGACATCGTGCCAAGGCACAAATCAAGTGCTGCTGACGAAATGACATTTAACATGCAGCTCAATTTAATTTGCCCCGGCAATGGCATCTCCATGAAAAGCACAACACGCGAAACTCACACACACACACACACACACGCGCGCAGGCACACACAGCAATTGCAGTTACAACAGAACCTGCTGCCGCTCGCTGCAACTGTCTGCTGTGGGCGCGTGTTGCATACTTGTAGGCGCACTGCAATTACGTGCCACTGCCACTGCGTTAGGCCTGGCATTGTGTTCGTATGACCTGCAGACATTTGAATCCCATCCAATCGATGGTGACGACGCCCACACCCACGTCCTCCACCAACACAACAGTTGCCCTGTAACTTGGCTGCTCAGCATGGAGCACAATTATGCCCTTGTGCTCCCTCCAAGTGTGTGTGTGGGTGTGCGTGTGTGTGTAGTGCAGTGCTTTTTAATTTGCAATATTAAACGCTCAATTGTTGCCCCAAAACTGAAAACAGAGATAAGCGACAGATCGGTTTGAGAGACTTTGTCAGCTGCATGTAATAACAAGACAACTTGGAAGTCATCAAATTTTCGCAAAAGGTGAGCTCCTACACAATTGTATAGCGCTCGCCACTTACGTTAATGAAAGGAGGGAGAAAATGTTCGTATAAAAAACAGAGTTGATTGCGTAAAACAACTTATACATAGAAATATAAATCCTAAAAGTGAAACATAATATTACAATCAGATTCGAACCACCAATACAGAGAGAATTCCATAGAAACCTATTATTTAAGAAAATTTGGTAACTGTCACGCATTTTTATGCTCTTCTAAAGGCTAATATACTTTTATCATAAAATGTGTAACGCAATGATAAAAAGAAGTTTTCGAATTATATATTCTTGTAAAAGTATACATAACCGTTCTGTTCTCTGCAATTATTCCATTTTATTTCGTCCCACGCACTCCTATATGCTATCTTATTAGCACAAGTAAAACAAAAACTTTATTATACAAAAGACAAAAAAGTCAAAGAGTCAATTTTAAACATTTTTTGAGGTGTAGCCGCTCGTTATGCAAAACGCTTGTTATGTAACCATTATCAGACACTTAAGAACTTAAACTTGAGCACTGCATGTAATAGGTTGTATAGCGGCATCGTATAAGCAAAGTAAATTCAAATGTATTTGCCAATAACTTTTATCCTTTATGGACTGCCACTGTGCCCAAGTTTGCAACATGTAATCGGCCATAAAAAATTACAGCTGTGCATTAACCTTTTGCGCTTTGCTGGTCACTGGGGGTAGAACGGAGTGGCTCGAATCGCATCGCATCGCAACGTATCGCATCGAATCGAATCGAATCGAAGGGAATCGCATTGAAGAGCGAGGACAACAAGGATGGCAGCGTCATCGGGCGCTTATCACTACATGCCATCAAATTTTAATGTCAAACCCCTTTTTGGCCAGGACCTTCAGTGGCTTGGGCAGCGCCTTGGGTCAGCTGCAGCGGGCAACAGCAGCAGCAACATCTAATAAGTGTTGTAAACGATGCAAACATAATAATTTGTAAGACTTCTGAAAGCGGAAACTTGTAATTTTCTCAAACAGCCAACAGAGACTCCCATCCCGGACCCAAATCCCTGTCTGGGGTCCTCTCTGTCTTTGCTGCACATATGCACTAAAATTCAGCCCAGAACATTCCAATTCCAGTCAAGCGATTGCCAAAAAAAAATAAAGAAAAAAGAAAACCCACAGAAACTGAAGAGCGATGAAGATGAAACCGGCAAGCAAATGTACAGCAGCCAAGTCGAATGGACACTGGATAAATAACTACTGAGTTATAGTGCTGACTCGATGGCTGCTACTTGGCGTCTATACATACTCTCGAACGCGGAGAGATTTCGAATATCTTCATGGAGCAATCAGATTCAGCAGGCAGGCAGCCATCAGCGTGGAGTCAAGCACTGGACACAGCCACAACAGCAGCACCATTGAATCAAATTTGGAAAATCCTTGACGTCAAAGACAAACAAAGGGCAATAGCAATGCGGTCGGACAGGATGTCTATGGGTTGAAGTAAATGTCCGGGCGTGGGGTGTTTGGACTCGTAAATGTGGCAAGTGGTTAAGATTTTTTGTCGTATTCAATTTCCTAGTTTATGGGTTTTATTCTCCAATGTCAGGGTACGTTAACTAGGCCATACTGCTTGTCATGCAGCAGGAAGTTACTTTAATAACTCAATTACTTTTCTCTATAAGCTCCAAAAGGTTGCAAGGACCAGTTGTGGTCCCTGCCCAGGCGTCCTTGCATTTCAACTTTTCCATCATTCCCTTGCTATTTATCTAAGCTTTGTTCTGCGATTGAAGAACATTCATTATTCGTTCGAAGCAAAAGTGAAAGACATAAGTAACCCTAACTAGATTCTTCAGACTTTCCTTTTTCCGCCAGCGAAAGCTCCTCAGCCTTTGGCCTTTCGCGTAGCGGATGTGGACGCAAACATGGCCTCGACATTACAAAATAGCTTGAACACTATTTGTAATTTGCATTCATTGACGCCGTTTTTATCGCAGGCTGGAAACAAGCTGTGAAATCTCCATTCGTACGCCACGGTAAATGTGTCAACAGGCAACGACAATGCCGCCTTTCAGCTGCTTGTCCACTAGCCATCCACACATCGACTTACATTCTCTCTGAATGTGTGTGTGTGTGTGTGTGTGTGTGTGTCGGCTTCCTGGGAGTGTGTATATGTATGCTCTTGATATTTCCGACTTTTCACGTACCTTCATCAAGTTGTCATTCAATTTTTAAATCCATAGCAAGTTTTATACTTAACATAGTTGTGACAAGTTGACAAAAAGTAAGTATGCCTTGGCTGACTTCCATTTAAAACTTGCCACATAGGTTCAACTGCCTTGAAAAAGACATTAAATAAGTGTCGTTTGGAGCGCATGTGAATCTCTGAACCTTTCCATGGCGCTGAAGACTTTAAACCTAACCAGCTCAAACCCGGCATATCAATATCCTTTCTTATGAATCAGCTTTTTGCATCAATCCCAGAACTTCACTCTTTTGCTGGTAACTAAATCTGGTCGAATCAGTTGCCAGTTGACCCTCATATTTAAAAAAATGTGGAATATCGAAAGACCTACAATTATTTTGATGAATGTTTAATAAGTCTGTTGTAATAAAAATCATTTTATATAATCAACTAGGGCAATTGATCCACCCAAGTCCCTCTGTGCTTCTCTCAATTCCTGTTAATTGAAAAACCATTTCAATTGGAATTCAAACGTAATCCCCATATGGTTAAGCATACAAGTAGCACTTGGAGCATCTAGCAGCTAAACCTTTGCTTTCACCTGTATGGAGCATCTATCAGTGGTCGTCTGTCCTGCATTAATCCCCACGTAATGAGTTGTACGCCATTTTGCGCTAAATTGTTTGGTGAGTGCCTGATAACAATATTTGCACTAATTTGGCATTTTTAAGTGTGCTCCACTGACACTTGATGCGCTTTTAATTGCGCCGAATGCTCGAGTGTACTTTCGTCGAGCCAGAGAGCATGTCTGCTGGCGGGTGGTGTTTGGGTGTCTTGGCTATAGCCCTGCCTGTAATTGTGACTGTGACTGTGACTGTGACTTTGTGGTTGGCGGGGATCCCACTTCTTCCTCTGCTCTGCTGCCTGACTTGTGGGTGTCCTCGTGCGGTTGGCTTGCCAACTTGGCTACGTTATTGGGACGTCGCCTGCCGTCATGTGGCAAGGAATGCAAAAGATAAACGATTCATTAGTTGCCACAATATTTGGCTGACTTTAATGACAGTGCTCTGCGCGTAGTTGTTTCTATGTACGTATGCGTATATAAATATGTCTGCTGCACAATCAATGTTGCCTGCCGCCAACATGTGGCAATTCAAATTTGATTGGCGCCCGCTTTTATTACTATTCAAATTCTATACTTGCAGTACGAGACGCCTGATTGCACCGCTGCCGGCGGCAATATGCGTGCCTTGAGCGGCGCCAGTGCCAGTGATATACTGCAGAAGCATTCGATTAGCTCAATACTGGAACAGCATCAGCATCAACATCAACACCAACAGCAACAGCAGCAGCAGGATCTGCTGAGCAGACGTGCCGATGCCAGCGATGGACTTATATCGTTCATAAATGGTTCGTTGAAAAGTTTTTGGATTGCATCAACTAATTTGATTATTTTCTTTTTGAGTCAAAGGCATGCAGAAAACTGTCATTTGGTTTTTATGCTATGTAGGTTTTCAATCTCCGATTTAATATAGTTTGGGTTGCCATGGGAATTATTGTCATGGTGTAGAGTTTCTATTTTGGCTGTAAATTCATTTTAACGTGGCACTGCTGGCATTTTCTTGTCAATATTATTTGGAGTCTTGCAAACGGACGTATAAATTTCAATCATTTTTTACCTTTTGAAGTCGGCACACAAATATCCTTCGATAGTTAAATTATTATTATTCTTTATTTTGTTTCACGTAGTTTAAACTAGGATCGAAGTTCCTTGTATAAATTGCATTATAAGTGTACACGCCCAATTGCCATTTGCAAAGGAAGCGCAGTAAATTTTCAAGTAATAGTCAAATTTTAAACACCTAAATACCAAATTTCGTGTGTGGAGAGCACGCAACCCGAGCAACAAAGCATTTGAGCATTTCAGCATTCCAGACCATCAGAATATCAAGAAACTTGAGACCATGTTGGGAATTGAGGAACTTTATATGAGAAAGACGCCAAGTGCTCTGCCAAGTGGGTCGCCCACGCAGGAGACATTTGAATTTGGCATCAACTATGACGGCAAAGCCATCGGCAATAATACCACCAGCACAAAAACCAGCAGCACCAGCAAATCTTCCAGCATCACCATTGACGAGAACCTTGGCATGATGGCAGCTGGTGATGGCGATGGCAGACAGAACTTGGCATACGACAATAACTCGAGCAACAACAATAACGCAAGCCAATGCAATTGCAGTAAGTTGCTCTGTGGGCCCCTTTTTGGGCTGCCAGTGCCAAAAAGAGTTCGTATCGTCGTATCGTTTCGGGCTGGGTTGCGATTGGATCGAACATAGCATATTTACGCCTAATTTATTAGCAGCATTTTGAATATTTGCAAAACGCTTGAAAGCTCTTCGTCGTCGGTCGGCCAGGCCAACAGAACACAAAATTATGGCAATGGTCAAATGTTGCACTTGAGTTTGTAGTTGCTGTAGAGTTAGTTTGTGTGTTTGTTTATTTGATTTATTGATGGCTGCGCCAAGTCAGCGATATACTTATATATATTCATATTTATATATAGATTTATATACTTTTGACTTGCCATTATATTGCAGATCCAATCACACTGAACGATCTGCTTGGTTTGTGTGGCGGCAGCGGCCCTGCAATCGCAGCCCAGGCAACAACAGCACCAGCCCCAACAAAAGTAGCAACAACGGCAGCAGGCATTGCAAGCGGCGCCGGAGGTAACGGCAGCAGCAGCAGCAGCGGCGTTAATAACTTGCTACTTGGCAATTCGGCGACTGCTGCAGCTGCCGCTGTCGCTGCCACTGGCGATTGCGGTCAATTGTCGGCGACTGCAGTGTCCTATGCACCACTGACACCGAGCTCAACTCAGTCCTCGGCCTCGCCAGGCACCAAGTCAAGTTTTGATTACTTTCAGGTAAGTTTCAGGCGCACAGCTCCGACGCGCACATGTCCTCTGCATGTGTTTATATGTATATGTATATGTATATATATATGTATGTATATGGACATGTATCTTGTATCTTGTATCTTGTAATTGCACCGAATTTGCACCAAACTGTTCTCTAACTTTTTTGCTTGTGTCTTTGCGTCTCGCTCGTACTAAACCAACGCTCGTGGACTCTATATACTAAACGTCTTATGATTTTTGATTGATTTCTATCTTGTGTGTGTCCCTCTCTCTCTCTCTCTCTCTCTCTTTCTCTTTTCCCTTTTATGTCTCTTACTCTGTGTGTGTGTAATTTTTTTCAATTTATTTGATTTCTTTTCTTTCTTTTTGGGTGAATTGGCGAACTTAGTTTGAAAATGTTGCACAAAGTAACCCACTTAAGGCTTTCCAAAGATCAAACATCAGCTTCGATTGCTCTGCACCCTTATCGCCAAGTACGCCTTCATCTATTTACAATCGCTCCTTTCACAGTTCACCTTTAGTCAGGTAACGATGCGGCACCTATTTGATTTTGGTCAGCCATCGATATACTCACACAATTTCCCACACTATTTGCAGCGACAGCAGCAATTCCTCCAGCGCCAATGGTTTATCGTTAGATTCGATTAATATGCTTTATCAGCAGCAGAGCTACAGCAACTTGAGCGGCACTAACAGCGGTAATCTCGGACTCAATTTACAAAATGCATCCACGCGCTCAAATTCACCGGAGAGTCAGAACAGCAATCAATCCTTCAACGAGCCAAATCTCTTGGACATGATTGTAAATATTGTCCCCTCGAGTCTGAGTTTGGGTCTGATCGAATTTCTTTGCAGAATCTGCTCTCAGTGAACAGCAACAAGCTGGCTTCTTTGCAGCAACAGCAGCAGCAGCAGCAGCAACATTTTCAACAGCAGCAGCAGCAGCAACAGCAGCAACATTTGCAGCAACAACAAAAGCAGTTACAACAGCAACAGCAGCAACAGAAGCAGCTTCAACAACAGCAGCAACAGCAGCAGCAGCAACAGCAACAACAACAGCAGCAGCAGCTACAACAGCAACAACAACAACAACAGGCTCATCATCATCAGCAGCAGCAGCAGCAACAACAACAACAACAACAGCAGCAGCAGCAGCAGCAATTTGCCAACATTAATCGAAACTATGAGTCGCAGCTGTTAAGTGGATCGCAACAAAATTTTGATTTGAGCAACAACGATTGCCTGAATCAATGTAGTCTAGAAAACTTTTCCATTGTGGACATGGAGCTGGCCAAGCTGCAGAATCTGCAGCGCATCAATACGCTCAAATTGCTGCAAGCACAAACGCAGCAAATGCCGTTGCTTAATCAACTGCTACAAAGCTATGCAAGCAATTTGCCTACTGCCGGCAGCTCAAACAGTCTTAATAACACTTCAAGTGCTAGTTTGGGCAATCTAGTGGGCGGTACTGGCAGCACTGTGGGCGTAGCGCCTAGTTCTATTGGCAGTGCTAGTGACTGGCATCTGGATCGTGTCGCCAAGTTTTATAAGAACTCGGCTGCAATATGTGAAGCAACATGTACTTGGAGTGGCCAACTGCCGCCACGTTCGCATCGCATGTTGAACTATTCGCCTAAAGTATTTTTGGGTGGTATACCGTGGGATATCAGTGAGCAATCATTAATACAGATCTTTAAACCCTTTGGTTCCATTAAGTAAGTCCTATTTAATTTACGTAAGTTCATCATTAAAGCATCCATCTTTGCAGAGTGGAATGGCCCGGCAAGGAGCAGCAGGCTGCACAACCCAAGGGATATGTGTACATAATTTTCGAATCTGATAAACAGGTGAAAGCCTTGCTCTCAGCTTGCGTATTGCAAGTTGATGATTCGCATAGTGGCAGCAATTATTTCTTTAAGATTTCCTCTCGGCGCATCAAATCTAAAGATGTAAGTCGTATATAAGGGAGTGCTCATTATAGTTTGCTAATAATCATGTTCCATTCAGGTGGAAGTAATACCCTGGATTATAGCCGATTCCAACTATGTACGCTCTAGTTCCCAAAAACTGGATCCCACTAAAACGGTTTTCGTCGGCGCCCTGCACGGCAAACTAACTGCCGAGGGCTTGGCAACAATAATGGAGGATCTATTTGATGGTGTACTCTATGCTGGCATTGACACGGACAAATACAAATACCCAATTGGCTCCGGGCGAGTTACTTTTAGCAACTTTCGTTCGTATATGAAGGCTGTATCGGCTGCCTTCATTGAAATACGCACCACCAAATTTACAAAGAAAGTTCAGGTGGATCCATATCTGGAAGATGCTTTATGTTCAATTTGTGGTGTGCAGCACGGGCCTTACTATTGTCGTGAATTGTCTTGTTTTCGGTATGTTTGAGCCAACAAATTAGGAATCCCCTCGTTTGTTAACTAAAGTACATGTATCTGTTGCAGTTACTTTTGCCGCAGCTGTTGGCAATGGCAACACAGCTGTGAAATTATTAAGAATCACAAGCCCTTGACACGTAACTCAAAGTCGCAAACTCTGGTGGGCATTGGACCTTCGACGTCCTCCTCCACGATTTCGTTGGCGTCTTCGGGTAACCGCATGAATATGGATCAGAAACTGCAGCAACATGGTCATCACAATAACCAACAGCAGCAGCAACCGCAGCAGCAACAGCAGCAGCAACAGCAGCAGCAACAGCAGCAGCAACAGCAGCAGCAACAGCAGCAGCAACAGCAGCAGCAGCAACAACAGCAACAGCAGCAGCAGCAACAAAAACGTATTCAGCTTCAGCAACATGCCAATCAGCAGGCAAACAACTTGAACCTTTTGTCAAATGCAGGCACCAACAACGCGGCAGCCAACTCATTGTACAAATATCAGCAACATCAGCCGACGATATAAGCGTGTATCTACTCCAAACTTTGTGCGCACTTTTAGCGTGCCGTTTTAACATAGTTCCATATTTAAGTTCATCATGGGATGTAATTTTGAATTTTAAGTGATACCAAAATTTTTGCACTTTTAGGCAACAGGAAGCTTAACCTTTCCGAATGGACAGATTTGGACGAAAATTATTTGTGTTGCACACCCAATCACAATGAACCTTGTAAAGTTACTCATTTATTTGATGTATTTACTTAAACGGTACGATATTTAGTATATGTACATATACACTTTTTTCTTTTAGGCTATACACACGAGCATTTCTCACATAATCCACTCGTATACATAATATTTTTTGATAATCATGCTTACATATCAGCATTTGAAGCGGGCATTCGAATGCCAATCGAAAAACCGCCAGCTACTTGAAATGGGCCATTTCAATTACGTTTCTCTATTTTTGGCTAAGAAAGCTGTTCCTATTTTGCATTCAGTATTTATCTAATTTAAGATTCTGCCATTCTGGAAACTGGAAAATGCATAAGTTTTTTGTTTAGTTTTTCCTCCCCGTTATTAAGTTTATATATATTTTGTTATTGTGCTATTAATCAGAAATTTTATAGCTTCTGTTTTTATTAGCCAAGCGCAGAAATATTTTTTGGATTTGTCCGTAAAGCGTTTATCACAAATTCCAATTTTTAAGTACGATTTAAAAGTTGAGAATTTATAAATTGGTCATAAGTTTTGTCACACTGAATTTGTTATATAGTTAATGTTTAGTTTATGTTTTTCATAGATTTAAAAAAATTTTTTTGTTGATCATTTACATTGATTGTTGAACTTTGTTTTTCTTTCTTGGCCCTCTTTTGGCTGAACTAGTTTTAAAGCTAAGAACTTTGTTCCTATTATTTATGTCTTACATTATTTTTCATGTATTTTGAGAACGAATCTCGATGCTTTGTATGTAATAACAAACCATTACATATTGTACTTAAACAACGCTTTAATTTAATATCAACATTATATTTTGTACACCCGCTTAATGCACATACTATTTCAAACAAATATATACATAGAACAAAACAAATTGTTTTCAAAATTCGAACTGTTTTTATTTTCTCTCTCTCTCTATTTTTAACTACCTAACCAATGCTTAAGCAACACGTAACACAGCGCTTCCCATGCTGATACTTGCCAGTTAGTCGAATATCAAATATTAAATTCAAACGAATTTAAGCATAAATACAATCAAATAATAAATTACTTAAACGTGCAACTTAAAATACTCGAAATACAAATGATGAATGCGCTAATTTCGTGTTTCAAATCGACAAACTAAGGAACTATTTAAGTGTATATTAACTGGTTAAATCGATTTGACAATTGTTAAATGAACGCTATTAGGGCATTAATTTTTTACCACTAGATTATTTTTGCCAAATATTATGTTTAATGGATGTAAGAATGTAAGAAAATACATGCTCACACGTTAAGAACCTACAGGGATTTTATGGTAGTCTTTGAATAGCGCAAAATAACCAAATGTTAATATATCTGCCATGCAACTAGTTGAATTTGTTTAGTTTTTTAATGAACCTACACAACAATAAGCAATTTTTAATTGATACAAATCTGAAAGAAACGCGGGTCTTAGGATAAACTTGGATGCCTCTTAGTATAACGGTTTCTGTTGTATCGCCTAGCTTAATTTCTTTTGCCTAGGAAGACTCGTAAAATATCATTTGGGCGGCAATACTTACATTTAGTTGATGTAAGTCAAGAAGTAGTTATTAAATCATTCAAATGCTAGACAATTATCACGCATAGTTTATATACATACGATATGTACTAATTATAACCTATACGCGCCTATGCATAGTTAATGCCTTCAGAAAAATCGATGAAATCACAAACTCAAATGAAAAAAAAAAATCGCTTTAACGAAAACCACAAATCAAAATGCTTATACACAGATAAATACATATTTATTAAACCATATACATGCGTGCATACCAATAAATATCTGTAAATCCAAATGTATCTATAATAAGAACAAAATTCAGGTGTCATCAGAAAGTATATTAGTGGAATGGATGATGAGCATATACACAACCATGTTCGAAATGCATATATTTACCAATTCCATATTTCATAATAAATACAAATAAAAACAAAAACAAAAACAAAATAATCAACCAAATTGAATGCGAATGAACATATACATATATACACACGTATACATATAAGGAACATATACCTTTAACTAGATAATAAATTGTATATATTGAAAGATATTTATACATAAAATGGTGCTTTAGCTGAATTATAATATAATTATATGTAATTCTAAGACCTATATACCAAAACATAATGAAGACAACTTGTTTCTCTTGATTGATTTCTAACCAAAACTGGAAAACGAATGCTGTGGCTGCCAGCATCTTTTTATTATAACGAATAAATACATAAATTTATAAAATATTTCAAGAAGTGTTTTTAACTGCTAAATAACAAAACAAAAACAAATACGCAATGCAAATCAACATTTTCGATTATGTAAAACACACAGTCATAGAAATATGGACACTTACACTAGGACATACAGACATGTTTAACTTTTAAATAACTAAAATTTATATACTTTTACTAACTACATTAAAGGAGAATCTAATACTTTTTAAATGACAAATTTTAAGGCTATTTAAGGGAATCACCCAGCCCCAAAATTGGTACTTAACCTCCAAAAAATCATACATATATTTTTACTTTAATGTTTTTAACGCTTTTACGAGCTAACTAAATGGCGTTTTTAATAACAAGAAAGCTACAGAAATTTTAAACAATTCTCACAAAGCTTTTTCAAATGATTTCAATTATCTTTTCCTTTTTATTACAATTTTTTTTTTAACAGTACAAGCTCAGAATTGTCAGATAAATGTTGAATACAAATTTAAGAAATGTAATGTATCAATGAATTGAATAAAACGAAATGTAATGGAACCAAAATCGAACGCTTCCCACGCAAAACCGATAATATTAAATTTTAGCAAAGTAAAACAAATAATAAAATGCAAAGTTCTACAAAACAGTGCACTAAATACTTATAAACATTTAAGCAAAAGATATATATATATATATGTATTTTACCAAACTAATTAAAACATATGTTAACCTACAGTTATTTTTAAGCAATTTCACACTATAACTTTAAAATGCATATTTTTAAAAACATAGCTAAGGTAAAGGGCAGTTATACACTACAGATTACCTACTCTCTTATAAACAATATCTATACATGCGCCAATATCTTTACCATGCATTCATTAACTTAACTATGCTAACTAAGTATATATTTCTAGCTACATTTATGAAGAATATTTTTAATAAGTATAATATTACAATACAACATTGAGCAACAAAGCGACATGTGAGACACATTTTGGGGGAACATTAGCAAAAGAAATTTGCAAATTGAATTTTAAACTAACAATACTTGCACGGCAATTGTTAAAAACCAAGTTAAAACAAAAAAAAAAAAAAAGAAGAAAAACACGCAATATGAAAGGTTTTTAAAAAGACTATTATACACACATATATACACAGAAAAGAATAATAATGATGAACATTACTAAGCTTTTAAATGCAATAATCAAGTACCATATATATTTTAATATTGGAAAACTTAAAGGATAATTGAAGGAGGACAAGTACTTATGCGTATACCCAACTTGTATGCGTTATTGCAAATTCGTATTGTTATAGTATAGCGAGGTATATGAAGAATTATACTTGGGGTATTTTAGCTTCGGCTGGCATTGGCTTCACAGATCTATGCCAAGGGAAGCCTTCTCACCCTAATTCTAATTGATTTTCCCACCTTATATAGGAATATAAACAAAATTACTGCAGTGCCATTTTAAATAGCTTCCGATAAGTAAAATATTAATATACATACATATATAAAATATATATATATACATATTAAAAAATAAGATATATATATATAGATATATATACATGCAACCAATACATAAAATACGTACATACCTAGTATATGCATACATACATACCTAATTATATATTTAATATATTGTTATGAGCTAAAGTTCAAATTGCATTACCGTTATTATGTAAACAAATAAAGCAAATGGAACAAAGTTGAACATATTTTGAGTGCAGACATTTTTGAACTTTTTGATGCTTTTTTTGTATAGCATTTTCAAAATGCATAAAAATCGACTACAGAACAAATATATATATATATATATATATATATATATGTGTGTATGTATGTACCCCATTATTATGTCATATGCGTACATATGTACATATGTATGTATGTAGATCCTGTAATCAAAAGCGCTAAATAAATGAATAAAATAAAGAATAGTTAGGTATATTAACTAATTAACGAACCCAATATCTATAAATATCAACTAACGAGATTTTTAATAAATAAACCTAAACGATAAACAACATATATGCGCTTAATTGAGTAAAATTAAATTAATATATATTTATGCTAAACTACACACTAAAAATGAAATTAATTTTAATTAATTGCATATATATGCAAATTCATAAATACTTATTAAAGAGCTTAAAGGAGGCAGCAAAGTAAAACAAAAATCCCAATTATTTAAATAATTGTTAATATGTATTAACATGCTTAAACAGCAACCAATTTACTTGTGTATAATAGAAGCATTATATAATATATATAATGTATAATATGACATTGAAAAACCCCAAATAATGGGATATGAGCACAGAATCAGCTGTGAAAATATCTCTACAACTATTTAACTCATAGAAGTGTCAGTATTTACTCAAATCCTTCATTCCATATTATTATTTATTACCGAACAAATACTGTGCAATGGGAATGTATTATACAACTATATACAAATTGCAAATCAAAAGCGCACTTAATGCAAAACAATAATCATGACTGCTAACTAAACTGACGAAAATAGTGCATAACGCAAAAGCATGATATAACATTATATACCCTCAATGAGTCGACAATATATAAGCCTGTAAAAAAGGTAAACATAATGCTGAGTATGCAAACTAAACATGTATTGTTTATATCATGAACATGAATAAAAAGAAGGAATAGATAATAAAGGACACACAGACCAAAACACAACTGCGTATTTATTGGAATAAACAAAAAGTTCACCATTTCAAATCACACTCCCTGTTAAACAACTACAAAATTCTTCAGTTTATAATTTATATTTTTGTGCTTAAATATTTAATAACTATACATCTGCTTGACAAAAATTGTACACAAGTTTTCTGTTTTCCTACATATAACCACACACTTTCGGCCTAGCTAAAAATGCAGACCATCAATTAAATCCGAGATGCCAAGTTCTATTTATTCAGTCTTCTCTTGGCAAAGATTTGATAAATTCCCAAGCAAGCGGACAGTGTGCCAATGGTGCCCACTTGAAAAGTGGACAATTTGCCACCCCAGAGATATCCCTTAGGCAAAGTACTAACGGCATGCACAAAATCCATGGATATGCGGATTATAGACATCAATTCCAATCGATGTTTGGCGAGCGACTTTGTATCAATATTAGTAGGACTATAAAAGAGGACGGTTAGATGTGACTCTGTACAGATTAAAGAGTCAGTTTTACTTACTTGCAAAGCTGATGATTGCGATTAAGTTTCTCCTGGTTTAGCCAGAAGTTGCGAAGTGTGCTACAATAGAATTATAAATAGTTTAACTTTTAATTAGATGATCTGTTGCATATATCATACTAACCGCATTAAATTCAAATATACCGAAAGCACCCAGAATATTGAATTTGCATTATCCCAATTGTCTGCATGTTTTATGTTAACAATTTTGTGCTCGGACAGCCAACATATCTTCTCAATTGGATAATACAGCAAATCCACAATATTGGCAGTCACTCCCAGCATTGCCATAACGCGATCCGGTTCATTTTCTCCTAGCCCGTACTCCAGTGCATACTGTATCATGGGTATATCATCAATAAGACGTAGCGTAGCTCTAGCTCCAGATATCTTTGAGCTGGCAATCGCATAACGTTTGGCCAAGTCCGGATTTCGCTTCAGATGGTAACCAGCCACAAGCTTGGCGCTATAGCAAAGCGCTTTCATTACCTGAAAAGATAAATATATAGTTATATATTTATATATATATATATATATATATATATATATATGTTATGCAAAGATGTATAAAGATATATCTTTTGTAAAGATGCATTTGTGCTTATTTACTTAGCCTTACTATTTATTTATTATTTCCTTTTTTGCGTTGCCCTTTACTGCAATTTGTTAAATTGCTTTGCAGTAATGAAGAGATAAAAAAATAGCAGCGATAAAAAGAATACAACGAATGCTACAAACATCTTAACAGCCGTTCTCCACCAAAGTGGTTTGGTGTCGCTTGGGGAATACGTTTATGTGGGCGCTTATGACTTAAATGGGTTACGCTTTATGTTTATTTTCTGGTTTATTTATATCAAATGGTATTTGCCTTTGCTTGTTTACGTCGCGTTGAAAAGCAATCAATAAAACTTAGTTAAATAAGAAAAATGTGGTAATTAAAACAAATACCAATCAATATTATGTAGGGTATATCACAATTCGACATGCAATACGTCCAATTAATCCAATATTTCCAATATTTAGCTTAAAAACTTACTAACCTTTCTCTCATAGCTTATAATCTTTTTCATTTCTTGCCGGGTTAACGTTCTATACGCCGTAATCTGCAGCATTATCTAGACTTTAACGCAGACTAAAGTCTATCAAATACTTCAGCCGATAGCATCAGCCTCAAACTGATAAAACCGAAGCTATTGCAGAATACATATGAAAAGCGCAACAAGAAGTAAGGCAAGGTTCAATAATGCCGCTTCCGACTATGTTCAAGGTGACAAGCAACAACAACAAAACAAAAACCTGTTAGTGCGGTAGTTCGGGGACATTAGTAAGCCTCACACCTAGGCTGCCACGCTGCATTTTTAAAATAACAACAAAAATGAAATGTTCAAAAGGTGTTCATATACCTTAATCACATTGGCCAATAAATACTTACCTTATCCCGTCCGCCATAGGAATCTATAATATCACAGAATTCGTTTATAAACTTTGTTGTACTGCTCATATTTTTTTCTTATGTTTTTTGTGTTTTTGTCCAATGCACAAAAATATAAATAAAATACAGTAGAAACCTACCGCGTAAACAACTGAACGGCAATACAAAAAAAAAATTACTATCACTTTTCGAACAGCTGTTATATTGGTGTCGATGCAATGCCCAGGTATCGATTATTTAGCGGCTATCGTTTGCAACACTAGCGAATAATTTGGTGCTGCACAGCACTGCGCATATACACAGCACGGATGCTTTAGTGAGTTGCAGGACGGGATTAGGATTCGTTTAAGGACTACGAGCGAAAATATGAGTTTGCCGAATGTGACTAATAATCATGCATCATCACCCATATACAGCAATAAGTCAGTCATAAAGAAAAGTTCAAAAAGCGATTTAATGCGGGCCGCCGTCGGTTTGTTGCTGAAGCAAAAGAATTATGTTGTAAGTAAAATCGCAAAAAACTCAATTCAATATTAACTTTATACATTTCAAACACATTACAGGGTAACGAGAAGTTTCGCAGATCAGATTTCCTCTTAATGCAAAACAAAAGTCAATTTGCGGTCAACAAAATGCTGGACACCGATCTCCATGGAGGCAATAGCTTCACGTATTCAAACGTTCAAGTTATAACAAACAATCAACATATGGTTGACCAGCAGTTTGGGCGATTTTCGCAGTTTGTGGAATTGCAGCCGGAGCCATTGCGAATCGAAATGAAGCGCTTCTATGCGCCGATGCTGTGCCATTTGTACCTGGAGCTGTTGAAGGCGCGTGAGTCAAAGGGCGCCGTCGAGTTTCTCAAGAAGTATGCGCATCTGGTGGCACCGGTCGACCTGTACGATGCACCACTGCCCACAAAAATCAATGGCTGCTCGGTGACGAATGAGGCTCAGTTATCGGGAGCCTCCGACTGTCACATACGTTTTGCTAGTGAGGCGCAGAATACTGGCGATACAGAACTGGATTACTTTATGAAATTAGTACAAATTCTATCGGGGTGCACAAAGCTGGAAACCGCTGAGTCAGACCCAACTGTAGCGCATTTTCGCGGATCCAAATACGAGATACATACAACGGCCCAGGTGGTGGATAAAATTGGCGCCTATTTGCAGCGACGCGGCCACGTGCTGATTATGAATCTGATCTACACCTGGCTGCATATCCACACTGTGGACAATGATCAACGTCTTTTTACAGAGGATCATCTGCTAGGAATTACCGAAGAACTTGATGTGATAGACGGTTTTGAGGCTGATGAGGTAACCACATATAGTACAACATGCAACATCCGCAGCGATCACAAGCCCAGCAAGTTTGGTGAAAAGAGCACCAAGAAACGTTCTGCTGAGGAGACAACGATCAAATTGGAGTCTGAAGTTAAGGCAGAAAGGCTCTTTATGGAAGCGGATGTGCCAATGGCTGATAAGAACAAATTCAACATTGACGCCTGCCTTGATACACTCAAATCCTCCACAGATCAAATACTAAAAGCTCAAGCGGATTTGCCATGTTTCTATAGGGTCTGCGAACGGACGCGTGGTCTCACCTCTGCCCATTTGGATAACAACGAATGCCACATGCTTGCGGGCTTTGATAACTCTGCCGTTCAGCTGTGGCAGCTGAACCAGCATAGCTGTAAGGGTAAAAGTTTTTATAGACGTGCTCCATACTCAGAATGCGCCTGGGAGCTAAACAATTGTGCGGACGACGAGCAAGAGGAACTGGATAGTGACGAGGAGGCATTAAAATGTAGCACTGAGGAACGACGCGAGCGCATCAAAGCATTACGCAACAAATATCCGGATAACTCCTTGTAGGTATTCAACAGTTAGCCTCTTATCCAGTTGTTAATGAATTGATTTCTTTACTGCAGCAACGAGTATGGCGGCTTGCAGATGCGTGGCCACACTAAAGGTGTTACCAATGTGCGTTTCTCGGCTCATTATCCGCTCTTCTATAGTGTTTCCAAGGACTGTACATTGCGTTGCTGGCGGGCGCATAATTTGCAATGTGCAGCCATTTATCGCAGTCACAACTACCCCATTTGGTGCGTGGATGAAAGTCCCGTGGGTCAGTATGTATGCACTGGCTCCAAGGATTTGAGCGCACGTTTGTGGTCCCTGGAGCGGGAGCATGCGCTAATTATATATGCTGGCCATACACAAGACGTTGAGGTTAACGAGATACAATTGATATATCTAGTGATAAACTAATAATTCTTTTCACCTTTTCACAGTGCATTGCCTTTCATCCGAATGGCAATTACCTAGCCACCGGCTCGGCGGATCATTCGGTGCGTTTGTGGTGCGCCACCAGTGGTAAACTAATGCGCGTCTTTGCCGATTGCCGACAAGCGGTCACTAGTCTAGCCTTTAGTTCCGATGGTAAAATGCTGGCCGTTGCCGGGGATGAATCTAAGGTGCGCATATTTGACTTGGCTGCAGGCGCGCAGCTGAGCGAGCTTAAGGATCATCCGACCAGCGTTAGCTCTTTGGCCTGGGGTGCACATAATCAACAACTCGTCACTGCCTGCATCGATGGCAGCCTAAGATTGTGGGACATAAAAAAGCTAACGCCTATGAGGTGAGTTGAAAAAAACTAGTAATTTACATGCTCTTAATCAACCATTATAATTCCACAGCGAGAGCAGCATCGGTGGGAGCAGCACCTACTCATCATCATCATCGTCGTCGTCATCAGCTACAACGAATCGTCTCTTGACTCTAAATAGTTCCTGCCAGCGTCTGGTCGATGTATTTTATGGACGCAGTAAAACGCTCTATTGCATAGGCACTTAAAAGTTGTCACCGTAATTGAGGATAGTTTTTGTTTTTAAAATAATTTATTTGTAATAAGTCTGTATAATAAGTATTACTGTTGCTATCAAATGGAACAATGTGTTTTTTTCTTGCCTTTTTAAATAATTCGTGATGTTTCTGAATGCCAGAACACTGTATATACTCGTATATTACAAAGTATACATACATTATCATTATTTAGTTGTTTTTATGTGGATCTGCCAGCTGCTGGGCTTTATATATTGTACAGAGCAACAATATTTGGAGCTGCCTAATGAATTTCATTTAATTATCTAACAAAATTGTGTGTTTGAAACATTTTAATAATTATAAGCTGTTATTACAGCTGCACATGCTAAAATATATAATATGCGTGTATGTATATTTATGTAGCATATGTACAATTACGTACTCAATGATTTTGGACACTCGCACAGCCCATATTGGAACAAAACATAGCTAACTTAAATTATATCGATTTGTGGTTATACAATCAACTATTTTACAATTTTTATGCACAATCTGCGCTGACTTTATGATAGGAGAAATATATTTTAATGAGCAATAGTTGGGATGAAATATGCTTTAACCAAACGATAAACTATTCGACTTTAAAAACTTAAGCTCTATATATATAAATATGGGCGCAGAGCATGAATAAATAAATTTGTATGTAGTACACATAGTTTTTGTCATAGTCGAATCTATTGACACACTAATAGCTTATCCATTGTTATAAGTTAATTGTGGAACATAATGTGTTTGATAGTCCTGACTGTGTTTTAATAAATGTTGGGTGTAATTCATAACAAATGAGTATAGTTTGCATCAGTTGGTAATCGACTTGCTCTAACGCTTGTGACGTCCACGTATCAACTGCAATGCCTTTGCCATTAACGGTGCCTTCTTGTTACGCATTGGCGCCGCAGCTGCGGATCGAACAACATTATAAATATTAATATATATTTTAGACAGATCGCTGACATTTAACTCACCAACTTGCGCCGAGTCGCGCGCCGTGCTGAGCACACGAAGTCTAGCGTCGCCTACCTTGGCCGCATTGGGCGTAACACTAGATAGGGCGGCCACGCGTGCCGCGGGCGTCGCAATTAGCTTGCCCTTGGTGCCATATTGCTCCTGCTTGCGCTGTACATTGCGCGGTGGCTTCACCATTGAATCAACAAATGCCAATTGGGTTTTGCGTACGGGCGCTTCGCTTATTTTCTGTGAGGCTTTTATACTCTCGGCAATTGTGCTAAGCTTGCGTTCCTTTTCTTCCTCGCATCGCTATAAACGTGCAACAATCATATCCATATTATTATAATTTATTGCTAAGTTATACGTTACCAAAAACATTTCACGCCACGTTTCCATTTCTTCCCTGCGTTGACTACGACAATGCCTCTGTACATGCTGCTGCCACAGCACTTCGCTGTCCTCCATTAGATAAGGATTGTACTCTTCGAAGTTCAATAGCTGATGTGGTGTAGCGCGTTCCAGCACTGGACGCAACACATCAAAGGGCACACCACCCGTATATTCCAGGGCTGTGTGTTGCAAATACAAAGTAAATAAATAACACGGCCTTTGCAGCTAAATTTTAATCATTTTTTCACTACCATCAATATTCTTTTGCAGCACACGCGTGCAAAGATCAAAGAGCGACGGCACCTGCAGTATTTGTCCAGTTCTGACTCCTGAGTAGATTTTGGTGCTGCAAAAGAAAAGAGAGAAATAAGTGAAGTTATACACAAGGTACTGCTAGGCAAACAACTAACCGCATTGTCTTGGATGATATTCCAGCTGCCAGCGCTTCAGACTCATTAAAATTGCGATGCGCCTTAGGCGCATTGTTGCCGAGACCATGGTTGAAGACAACATCCATGACTGTTTGATTCAGCGGCATGGGCTTATAATTGTTTGATATAGTAGGCAGTTCCAATGCTATGCTGGGATCGAGGGGCTCTAGCTTAGCTGTGGGCGCCAGCAGCTCAGGTTTCTAAAAAAAATCAAGCAAACATATTTCTTTATGACTAAGCAGAGCTTTTTCAAACTGAGTTGTTTTACCTTTGTGCTTAAGAGTTTGCTGCTACTGGAAGTTGTTGCTGATGTTGTTCGTTTGGTTGAACTACAGGAAGATCCAATTGATGTTGTAGTTATTGTTGTTGGCTTGTGGGGCGACTTGAGCTTGTTAGTAATCTTTTTGCTACTCATTGGCATGTTGAGCATACCAAGCACATCGTCAAAATTAGCGCCCATGCTGGAGTCAAATTCATCAGCGGTCTCCTTGTGCTCGA